TACAACCAGACTACAACATGCTGTAGAACATGAGATGCTCCGTGCCGTGAATATTGTTCCGATGGTAGAACCAGACTACAACATGCTGTAGAACATGAGATGCTCCGTGCTGTGAATATTGTTCCGATGGTAGAACCAGACTACAACATGCTGTAGAACATGAGATGCTCCGTGCCGTGAATATTGTTCCGATGGTACAACCAGACTACAACATGCTGTAAAACATGAGATGCTCCGTGCCGTGAATATTGTTCCGATGGTAGAACCAGACTACAATATGCTGTAGAACATGCTGTAACGTAGATACAGGAATATGTAATTCTGTCCATATTATCAAGTATATTTAAATTTCAGCGTGTAATTTAAGTCTCAGTCCTGGTCGAGTCACTGCATCTAGCCTGTTTAACCTTTGTAGCATCAAGTCGCATGGTGATTTTCATTTCTCAGAACGATTCCAGGTACGAGTTGGTCAACACTTTTAAGGATCCATTAAATTTCCAGATGACGGGTTATTAGGAAATTGTACAATTGAAAATATTATGGGCAAGTTAATATGACATACGATCGGCACCTACACGTGTTTAATACTCAAAGAAACACACGTAAGTTAGATCAATGAGTTGTGTATCGTCTTCTGTCCTTTCTTGACTGTACAGGCATCAGTGCTCGATCAAACCATAAGACATATAGGGGAACTTATAAGGTCACATATACTTTAGAGGGGTACAAATGCATAAATCATTTAATGGCATCGTTATAAATGAAACCCCGTCATTAAAACTACTCATTTCGACCCTTAATTAACTTAAATCGACCTTTTTGACAACACTGCACAATTCTCTCCCGCGAAAGAAATTTCAACCAATTAGAGGGGCGCGTCTCCGCGATGTAATGTGAGGTATTGATATGAGAGGCAGTGTAAAATTCATGTACATTTCAGGGGGTAAATTATCTTGTTTATAGGTTTGTATAAACCTGAAATCTTGACAATTATTGTGAGAAGTGAAAGCTTTATGTTTTCAGAATCTACTGTCCATTAATCTTGTCGCCTGCTTTGCTTAGCTTTCGAATTACAACTTGTTTTATAGACGATTCTGTCAAAATCGCTTGTTGTCATAACGGTTACCTGTTGGCTAGGTCTGGTTTTTGTTCCCCAATTTACTCAGGTGTTAAACCATTTATGTCAAGTGATTTCAATATGGATAATTCAGTGGGTTGGCATTTCGGTACAAAGCAGACTCTAACATGTCCAGAAGTAATTCAGACAGCGACAATCTTTCCATTCAATCTTTAATGGAGAAACAATCGCTAGGCCTTATTTGTTCGAGCCAGACGCTAGTGATAGTAAAAACGATGATCAGCCTCGCTCATCACGATCGACTAGTATCTACATAGTGGTAAGTGGACGTTAACCATGTGAATGTAGCAAGAAATTTATCGCGCAGTATTGTCACTTCGACCCTCACCTCGCTTCCGTGGAAAAGATCGTTATTTACAAGTTGTGTCATGCAAAATCCTTTTGGTCATCAATCATATACATATTTTACTACAACTGGTAAGTTGTTTTGATTTATTTTACTCGATGAAAACGTCAAGAAATCAGCAAAATGACGAGCTTATTACACTCTTTATATACAACTGACATCCTGGTTCCCGGGCCTCTCATTAGGTTAACCTAATGAGAAGCCCGGGAACCAGGATGATACAACTGATTGAAAATCATTCCTCACATAACGTCACTTCCGGTTCGCTGCAGTGCTCTGGTGACAGAGTTACGTAATCTCTCTGTGGTTTCGTTGGCGGGCGAGAGTGAAGCAGACGGCTTTTTGGCAACTTTTAATCGCTTGGTATTAATTAACCACAAGTTTTTTAAGAATGAATTTGTTGTTCCGCTGAAGACTAACCAAGTCTTTCATATGTAGTGGTTGAAGGGAAAATGATTTCAATATGGTTTATGCCTCTCAAAGAAGATATGTGATAGTTAAAAGTGTACACGAAAAGTGGTTTCGTTCTTTGGATAAAGATTGTTCACCACAGGGCTAGTTTACGAGGGTCATTTCGAGGGTAGATTCATTCTAAGCATATTTGTAACTTTGTACAGTGAACTATTTATTGGAGAACTAAAGCTTCAAGAACTCTGGGACGTAGTCCACAGAAATATTCCGGAGACCCTGGGCATTTCCAGAACAATCTTCCTTTGTGTACAATCTAGTGTAAATGAAGACTACTAGTTGTCCGACTTACTTTTCTTCTGACTGACTGATTTATAAACTCTGTCAAAAAGAAACGCAACCCCTGTCCTCAGATATGAAAATTCGTTTGAATGAAGTTATTGCTTCCAAACTAAATTTTATTCAGATGTATTGAAATGATACACGTAATTAATGAAGATTACCATCAAACAACTGCATTTGTACGCATAAGTGTATTTTATTGCTTATTCCGTCACAACGCATGAAATGACCCTCATGGTGACTTCGCACAAAAAACACATGCAAATCATGAAAATGGCAGTTAATGTAGGGTGTGTATAAAGCCCATGTGCTTCCGTATTATATTCATTCATTTGTCGCCGAAAGCTGTGTTAAAAATGCCACGATTGAGTGCTGCCGACCGAAATATCGCCATTGGTCGTGTTCAGAAGCCGGAGAAAGTTTTGGAACTGTTGCACGGCACCTAAATGTTCACAAAACAACGATATCCCGACTTTGGAGCCGCTACAACAACTTCAATTTGACCAACGATCGCCCGAGAAGTGGAAGGCCAGAATCACGACCCCCTTCAAGATCGGTACATCCGGGTCCATCACCTGCGTAATCGGCATGCCCTACCAACCGTGACTGCCACACAAATACCAGGTTTGAGGAGAGTGTCAGCTCAAACGATTAGGAACCGTCTGAAAGAAGCGGGTTTACGTGCCTGTAGACCAGTTGTTGGACCTGTACTACGCCCCTACATCGACGCCGACGACTCAGGTGGTGCAACAACGTAAGGATACGGACTTTACAAAACTGGAGGCGAATCTGGTTTTCTGATGAATCACGTTTTCTTTTGCAACGTCACGACGGAAGACAGCGTCTGTATAGGAGACGTCATAAACGTTTGCGCCCATCTGCGTCCGACAGGTGGACAGATTTGGCGGAGAAAGCGTCATGGTTTGGGGAACCATCTCATACAACCAGAAATCAGACTTGGTGATCGTTCCAGGGAACCTGACAGCCCAACGTTACATCAACCACGTGTTAGAGCTTCACCTTCTCCCGATTATTGACCAACAGACACAGATTTTTCAACGGGACAACGCCCGGCCTCATACTGCACGTGCAACAATGAACTTTCTGCAGAATTCCAACGTCAATGTCTTGCCATGACCCTCTAAATCACCAGACCTCAACCCTATTGAACACCTGTGGGATACTCTGGATCGACGCGTACGTCAACGTCAGCCGCCGCCACAGACGCTGCAACAGCTCGCCGTTGCACTGCAGGAGGAGTGGAGAGCCATTCCCCAGGAAAGAATCCGGCGTCTTATCCGTTCTTGTCCAAGGAGATGCCGTGCAGTGATTGCAGCGCGTGGTGCTCATACGAGATACTGAGAAAGACGCCCCCCTGGTGACAAACTGGTGTCTGTGAGATGACTTTTGAAATGACAATTTTAAACATGCCCATCTGGGTTATTATTCTGCCAAATTTCAGACTTCTGTCTTAAATAATAAAAATGCCGTGTCGTCCTAAAACTTCAGATCAAAATCTCTAAAATACAGGGTTGCGTTTCTTTTTTGACAGACCTTTAACCCTGATAAATCCGAAACAATCAATTTTTCTCGTAAACATAAATATGACACGATTCCGACCTTGAACATGAACCAAACCCTGATACGAGAAGTGGAAAGTCATAAACACCTGGGTATAACTCTACAGAGTGATTGTGGATGGGAAAGTCATATTGAAGATATTGTTAAGAAAGTTAGCCCCATGATAAACTGTCTTTGAAGTTTTAAATATCGCCTCTCCAGAAAAACGCTAGAAACCATGTACAAATCGTTTGTGATGCCGATATTTGACTATTGTTGTCATATCTGGGATAATTGTACAAATGATCAGTCCCTCATTCTTGAACGGTTACATCTAGATGCACTTCGTACAACATGCGACGCAGTTCATGGCTCTAGTCATCATAGGTTATATATCGAAACAAAGTCTAAACCTTTAAAAGAAAGAAGGCGCGACATTAAACTAATATTTTTTTACAAGATGAATAACGATCTCGCACCTCACTACCTCTGTGACCTTGTCCCTAAATTTGTCTCCGAAAATAGTCAATATAATCTCCGTAATAAATTTAAGTTACAAACAATAAATTGTAGGACTAAAATATATGAAAAATCGTTCCTACCTGACACAAATAAAATTTGGAATTCATTACCTGATAATTTAGTATTCGCTAACTCAATCGGTGAATTCAAATCTCTGCTTAAAAATGATGAATCAAATAATTATCTAGATCTAAATTATGGCAGTCGATTCTGTTAGATCGTACACTGTCGACTTAAGCTCGGCTGTAGTGATTTGAATGCGGATAAAGTAAATAGACACATTTCTAACAACCCTGGGTGCGCTTGTGGATACCACAATGAAGATACTGTTCATTATCTTTTTACATGTAAGTTATACACTGCTATTAGAAATAATACCTACTTCTATGTAAATGGCAACAATCTCCAAACTGTGTTATACGGAATACCTCCGGCAAACAACAACGTCAGTAAGAACATAATAGAGTCCCTGCATCAGTACATCTTTAAGTCTAAACGATTTGACAAATTATTCTAGACAATTATATGCAATCAATTAATGAAGTGTAGCTGCAAGCTCAAGATTTATAAGCACCTACAACGCGCATATATAATTTAATTTGTAGTTTTTTGTATCCACTTCTCGTGTATTTGTTTAAATGATATATGTACTGGTGAGGTATTGATATAATCAGAGTTCTGCTTGTTTACAAAACCAGATTCTCTAGGAATAAAAATATGTTTAAACCAAGTGTACCACAGATTTAGGAGAAAGGCTTTGGATGGGTATGAAGAAGCAACACCTCAAAAGATTGCATCCCGACTTCAGATATATGAGAGTATCAAGTCAAGTCTGTACAGACAAAGAACCAACGAGGTCCCCTGTACTCTACAAGACGCCCAAGACCTACAGCTCCATGGGGATTGGGCTACTACATACCAAGGAGAAGATTTTCTACTGGTAGATGACAACAGCGGAAGTAGGATCATTGTTTTTGGATCTCTCTCTAGTTTATCCAGATTGTGTGAAAGTGATACTGTTTCAATGGATGGCGCTTTCAAAATTTGTCTCAAAATAGTTTATCAAGTATATATCATCCACTCCCATGATAAGTTATATGGTACATTGCCTGATCTTTTCTGTCTCCCTCCGGACAAGGCCAGTGCCACATACCGTCCGGTAAGCTCACTGTTAAATTGGGACAACTGGGTAGATACGCTCACTGCAGGATACGCTCACTGGAGGGGCAGGATACGTTCACTGCAGGGGCAGGATACGTTCACTGCAGGGTCAGGATACGCTCACTGCAGGTGCAGGATACGCTCACTGCAGGGGCAGGGGCAGGATACGTTCACTGCAGGGTCAGGATACGCTCACTGCAGGGTCAGGATACTCTCACTGCAGGGGCAGGATACGTTCACTGCAGGGGCAGGATACTCTCACTGCAGGGCAGGATACGCTCACTGCAGGGTCAGGATACTCTCACTGCAGGGTCAGGATACGTTCACTGCAGGGGCAGGATACTCTCACTGCAGGGTCAGGATACGTTCACTGCAGGGGCAGGATACTCTCACTGCAGGGGCAGGATACGCTCACTGCAGGGTCAGGATACTCTCACTGCAGGGTCAGGATACTCTCACTGCAGGGTCAGGATACTCTCACTGCAGGGGCAGGATACTCTCACTGCAGGGGCAGGATACTCTCACTGCAGGGGCAGGATACGCTCACTGCAGGGGCAGGATACGCTCACTGCAGGGGCAGGATACTCTCACTGCAGGGTCAGGATACGTTCACTGCAGGGGCAGGATAGATGACGCTCACTGCAGGGGCAGGATACGCTCACTGCATGTGCAGGATACGTTCACTGCAGGGGAAGGATACGCTCACTGCAGGGGCAGGATACACTCACCGTTTCACGAGCATGCGACAGTGATTCATAAACACATGTCATGACATATTTGAAACCATACAGTCATTATCAGTGTTTGCCCTTAACCCTGAATCATTATCAGTGTCTCCCCTTAACCCTGAAAAGCAGCAGGCCTTCAGGACCCAGAACCATAAAAAGTTGTGGGTCCTGATCAGCATGTGTAGGCCTAATATTGTAGCTACAATGTAAGTAATTCACAGCAAAAAAAAAAAAAAAACAGAGTAAAGAGTTAAATTTAACTCTGGTGACTGACTAGTCTTCACTTACAACAAACTCAACATCCATGTCAAGATCCATGTCAAGATCCATGTCAAGATCCAAGTCTTCTGACAAGCCTGAATCAGAATGTTCAGACAGCGATATGTCAGTGCAGTCAGTCACAGTCAGTCAGTCACAGTCATTGGGGATGAAAAACCTGTCGGTCATAAGGACCTGCAGAAAACAAACGCTGTGGGTCCGAGTGGTTTTCAGTTGGCGTTGGGCCTAAAGACCGACGTTAAGTTCGAACGCTGCCTCTGGTACACTATTATAGATATATGATACCAAATTCATCTTGGTTCATGGATTTGCTCGTAGTTATATTTTCTTGTGAAGTTTGCAAGTTCGGTATTTTTGTCTCACTGTGGCTTATAATCAAACCTGATAACGGTGTTGGTAGCTACACTGAAACGTCGCTCATATTATATCAAAGAAGTTGCATATCCATTGAACTCTCCTCGTTGTAAAAAAAAAAAAACTTGCACAGGAATGAGCGTTCCAACAATCCACCCCTGTTAATAATACATGCTTTTATAAAGCAGCAAGTCATGATTAGCTCCGTGTGCAAGCAGAGCGATTAACTCTGGAACATTGATGAAACAAGCGAGACTTTAGCTTGATTTGAAAGAAGAGACGGTGGTAGCAGTTTTAACGTTATCTAGAAGAAAACTAGTTCCAATTAAATCTGTGAACCGAGACGAGATGTTATCTTGTGAGCAGGGGACTCTGCGGCGACACTAGACTGGTAGAACTTCTCCGAGGTATGACGGTGAATGATGGTGCAAAGAGGATCTTGTAATCCACACATGAAGCAACTGGAAACCAAAAGCGTTCTCTTCAAAGTGGTGACACGCGAGTGAATTTGGACGATCTAAATATAATCCTGGATGCTGTAATTTGAATAGCTTCGAGCCTGTTATTTTTTTCCTTTGTTTGACAAAATCCACCCGGACAAAATCCACCCCAAAATTGCAACCTAGGACAAAATCCACCCGGATCTCAAACTCATTAAAAACTATGTTCTGTCAAAACATGAGTATAAAAGGCTCCAATCAGGCTTGCAAGAACATCTTAATTCTTTAAGGGGATTACGTAATGATCAAAGTGTGAGACTACTTAATGATATATGAAAGAGGATTAAGTAGTGATCAACATGTGACAAATGGAGAAACCTTTAATGTTTGAAACAACATCTAGGAACAACAGCCAATTAGGAAAACGTAAATGCTATCAAAACAATGCTTGCAATAATTGAGAAAAACAACTTGATCAAAGATCAGGAAACACAAAAACTTTTAACAATAGCAGTTTTAGAAGGGTGGATTTTGTCCATATTTTTTGTTAAGACTAGGTGGATTTTGACCGGGGTGGCAATTTTGGAGTGGATTTTGTCCGATCACCTTTGCAAGGAGATGCTACAATAGTCAGCACGTGTGTTGAGGAGATCCAGCATCAGTCTCACACACCAATCTGATATGACCGTAGCTTTCCAATATTTGTGAGATGGTAATTGCCTGTTTGGCACTGTTGGGTCACGTGGTGTTTCATGCTCAGCTGCTTATCAAATAGCACTCGCAAGTGTGTTCAGTATGTGAGACCTCTAAATGTTATTGTATCATTTTGGCAAAACACACGTGGGATTGCTGTAACAATGCTGAGTGTAGCACTATAAGGCCACTCACATGAGCTTAAACTGTTGTCGTATTTGTCTTCGTGATCATCTTTAAATAACAAGTGATAAAAATACACAAAGAGTAGATTTATTTCCCTGAATAGTACTGATATGAAGACACAAACTGCTCCATGACGTATCTGACGGTTCAAATAGTGATGGATCACTTGAAAACTAAATGAGAGACACTAGACGTAATAAACATGTTTGCTATTTGGTAGGAACAATTGAAACTAGATGTAATAAACATGTTTGCTATTTGGTAGGAACAATTGACACTAGATGTTATAAACATGTTTGCTATTTGGTAGGAACAATTGACACTAGATGTTATAAACATGTTTGCTATTTGGTAGGAACAATTGAAGACTAAATGTATTTGGTAGGAACAATAAACATGACACTAGATTTATAAACATGTTTGCTATTTGGTAGGAACAATTGACACTAGATGTTATAAACATGTTTGCTATTTGGTAGGAACAATTGACACTAGATGTTATAAACATGTTTGCTATTTGGTAGGAACAATTGACACTAGATGTTATAAACATGTTTGCTATTTGGTAGATTGTAGATGTTATAAACATGTTTGCTATTTGGTAGGAACAATTGACACTAGATGTTATAAACATGTTTGCTATTTGGTAGGAACAATTGACACTAGATGTTATAAACATGTTTGCTATTTGGTAGGAACAATTGACACTAGATGTTATAAACATGTTTGCTATTTGGTAGGAACAATTGACACTAGATGTTATAAACATGTTTGCTATTTGGTAGGAACAATTAAAACTAGATGTTATAAACATGTTTGCTATTTGGTAGGAACAATTAAAACTAGATGTTATAAACATGTTTGCTATTTGGTAGGAACAATTAAAACTAGATGTTATAAACATGTTTGCTATTTGGTAGGAACAATTGACACTGGATGTTATAAACATGTTTGCTATTTGGTAGGAACAATTAAAACTAGATGTTATAAACATGTTTGCTATTTGGTAGGAACAATTAAAACTAGATGTTATAAACATGTTTGCTATTTGGTAGGAACAATTAAAACTAGATGTTATAAACATGTTTGCTATTTGACACTAGATGTTATAAACATGGTAGGAACAATTAAAACTAGATGTTATAAACATGTTTGCTATTTGGTAGGAACAATTGACACTAGATGTTATAAACATGTTTGCTATTTGGTAGGAACAATTGACACTAGATGTTATAAACATGTTTGCTATTTGGTAGGAACAATTGACACTAGATGTTATAAACATGTTTGCTATTTAGGAACAATTGACACTAGATGTTATAAACATGTTTGCTATTTTAGGAACAATTAAAACTAGATGTTATAAACATGTTTGCTATTTGGTAGGAACAATTGAAACTAGATGTTATAAACATGTTTGCTATTTGGTAGGAACAATTGACACTAGATGTTATAAACATGTTTGCTATTTGGTAGGAACAATTGACACTAGATGTTATAAACATGTTTGCTATTTGGTAGGAACAATTGAAACTAGATGTTATAAACATGTTTGCTATTTGGTAGGAACAATTGAAACTAGATGTTGAAAAATTGTTTAACAAATCTGAATGACAGCACACAATATAACCAACATTTCACTTTAGATGTATCACACCTCACATCTCTAGAATCACACATCACAAAAATATCATAATGGCACAATATTAATGGTTAAAATAGTCTTACCCAATGGGATATTCGAACAAATTGTTCACTTCTTTGAGTGGCATTTTAACTTGAGTGGCAACAAATTGAGTGACAACAAATTGGTCATATCACCTTAACAGGTGGGACATTCTAACAACTTGGCTTAAGTCATCTCACCCGTTGGAGCATTTTAACAACTTGGCTTAAATCACCTCTCCCAGTGGGACATTCTAACAACTTGGCTTAAATCACCTCTCCCAGTGGGACATTCTAGCAACTTGGCTTAAATCACCTCACCCAGTGGGACATTCTAACAACTTGGCTTAAATCACCTCACCCAGTGGGACATTCTAACAACTTGGCTTAAATCACCTCACCCAGTGGGACATTCTAACAACTTGGCTTAAATCACCTCTCCCAGTGGGACATTCTAGCAACTTGGCTTAAATCACCTCTCCCAGTGGGACATTCTAACAACTTGGCTTAAATCACCTCTCCCAGTGGGGCATTCTAACAACTTGGCTTAAATCACCTCTCCCAGTGGGGCATTCTAACAACTTGGCTTAAATCATCTCACCAGGTGGGGCATTCTAACAACTTGGCTTAAATCATCTCACCAGGTGGGGCATTCTAACAACTTGGCTTAAATCATCTCTCCCAGTGGGGCATTCTAACAACTTGGCTTAAATCATCTCACCAGGTGGGTCATTCTAACAACTTGGCTTAAATCATCTCTCCCGGTGGGGCATTCAAACAACTTGGGTTAAAATCATCTCTCCCAGTGGGGCATTCTAACAACTTGGCTTAAATCATCTCACCAGGTGGGGCATTCTAACAACTTGGCTTAAATCACCTCACCAGGTGGGCATTCTATCAACTTGGCTTAAATCATCTCTCCCAGAGGGGCATTCTAACAACTTAGCTTAAATCATCTCACCAGGTGGGTCATTCTAACAACTTGGCTTAAATCATCTCACCAGGTGGGGCATTCTAACAACTTGGCTTAAATCATCTCACCAGGTGGGGCATTCTAACAACTTGGCTTAAATCATCTCACCAGGTGGGGCATTCTAACAACTTGGCTTAATGGCTTAAATCATCTCACCAAGTGGGCAGTTCAGCAACAGTATAAAGGCTGTGGTCCTTGTGTTGGCAGTGACAGCCCTGCCTCTGTGATGTGTTGCATCATCTTGCAGGAGACTTAAGTAAACAACACCTGCCACTCATGACAACATGGTATGAAGTCCTGAGTTTAAAACAAATCATCTTGTTATAATACAATGTCAAAGTGAAATACATTCCTTGTAGGAAGCTGTAATGACATGAAGATGTGATATAACGACATTATCACCTGAAAAGTCACCATATCAACATGTAATGATATGGGGTCCAGGTGGCTTTTGTCCGGGTGGCATTTGCCCAGGTGGCTTTTGTCCTGCTCCCAATGATATGACAAAAGCAATGCATTACATCACACAGACATGTTTTAACCTGAAATACCATCACACCAGGGTCTTGTTAACACATTATATCAGTCTGGTGTTATAGTGTGAGGTCACTACAGGACAAGGCCTCCTTGTTCAGGACATTCATACATTATATCAAATCCATGTGTAATAACATGAAAATAATCCATCATACTGGTTCTATTACTGGAACCTGGTGTTAAAACTTGAAATCACTACATTCTATCAAGGTTTTAAGTTATTACATGAAATCACTGAATTCTATCAAAGTTTTGAGTTGTTACATGAAATCACCACCTTCTATCAAGGTTTTAGGTTATTACGTGAAATCACTACCTTCTATCAAGGTTTTAAGTTATTACATGAAATCACTACCTTCTATCAAGGTTTTAAGTTATTACATGAAATCATTACATAAAACTTGCAGTCAACACATTATACCAAAGTCAACGACACTATACAAAAGCCTTGTGTTTCATAATGAATACACTATTTTATACCAAAGTCTTGTGTAATAAAATGAAATCACCATATTCTACCAGTCACTATGCCATAACACAAGATACAACACTATATGATGTAGTAGCCATTATGTCATAACAAAATCACCAGAGTAATCACAGACGTGCCAACAATTAAACATAAAACTATTAGAAGAAACATAAAAAGGCAACAAGTATTGATATAAAACTATGTTGATATTGATAACAACGGCTGTGAGCAATATTCATCACATTCATCTTGTTCATCATCGGTTTAGGTATTGTTGACAGGAACTGCACCATTGACAACCCTGAGATAGAGGTGATGAAAGATAATATCAGTAATACATCACTCACTCACACACACACACACACTCACACACACACACACACACACACACACACACAGAGGTTCAGTCAAACACTACCATCAACACATACTTCACACACACACACATTCAATCAAACACTACCATAAATACATACTTCACACACACACACACACACACACAGAGGTTCAGTCAAACACTACCATCAATACATACTTCACACACACACACACAGGTTCAGTCAAACACTACCATCAATACATACTTCACACACACACAGGTTCAGTCAAACACTACCATCAGTACATACTTCACACACACAGGTTCAGCCAAACACTACCATCAATCAGTCAAACACTACCATCAATACACACACACACACACACACACACACACACAGAGAGAGGTTCAGTCAAACACTACCATCAATACATACTTCACACACACACAGGTTCAGTCAAACACTACCATCAATACATACTTCACACACACACACAGGTTCAGTCAAACACTACCATCAATACATACTTCACACACACACAGGTTCAGTCAAACACTACCATCAATACATACTTCACACACACAGGTTCAGCCAAACACTACCATCAATCAGTCAAACACTACCATCAATACACACTTCACACACACACAGGTTCAGTCAAACACTACCATCAATATTATACATACTTCACACACACACACACACACACACACACACACAGAGGTTCAGTCAAACACTACCATCAATACATACTTCACACACACACACACAGGTTCATTACATATTCATATCACACCTATATGTTTTCACCATACTTCTGTGTTCTGTTTAACACACTGTTGTAAACTTGTATGAGAATGTATATCATGATCTGACTTTAAACGTGTGTTATATGTTGTATGAGAGCGGTGTTGATATACTATAGCAGCTTGTACACCGATCCCTATTCATTTATTGAATGAAAACAAGTCTAAATCACATTCACACACGATGGAGACACCATATTCTCTACGCTATGAAATGTAACAACTTCAGTTCACTAAAATATATTGTATTTTCCATAACACAATAAATATAATTGTAAAAATATGTCTAAAAGATCTTTTCACTTTGTGTAAACAAATCTGTATTGCTATAAAGGTATCTACATATGTAACTGTATAAATATTTGTACAAACATCCTCTAGAGAGAAGTAATAAATTAACAAGATCAGTAAAGCCAACAAGTAACACATCACCGAGGGCTGGCTCAGATGGCAAGGCTTACACAAGTACATGGTGGGAATGCCTGCTTAAAAACATATTTTTATATGTAACCATGGAAACAACAAACAACTGAATCAGGAGATGGACATCAGCTGTGGATGTTTCTGGTATCTAATGTTGAACAAATTTTAGACTGGTTAATGTAACCATGAACCGTGATGACAGAAAAACTGTGTATTTATGTAAACACTGCAGCGTTATACTGAATAGAGTGAGGTGGGGTTCTTGCTGCGGCAGCAATATTCATGCAACATCACAGCGGGGGATAGCAGAAATGGGCTTCACACACTGTACCTGTGAGGCGAATCGAACCCTGATTTTTGGTGTGACAAGCAAACGCTTTAATCACTAGGCCACCCCACCGCCCCTATACTGATTAGAAATGTGTCTCACAAAACAACGCTAGTTCAACAAACAAACAAATAAACAAACAGTATGTTGTGGCCTCAGATTAACAAGTTTCTTGATCAGCTCAAAGCAGACGGTCAGTAGTGTTGATCCCTGAAGTTGACCACCGACAGACCAGCTGCTGGACACCTCACTAATCCTCGGCCTCGTTAACTGCACTTGGATTTTTGGTCGTTGTTCTTATTCTAATAAAAAAAAAAACATAGCATAAATTTTCCTTCATATAACGAAATACTTGTCCTGAAAGAAACATCTCAAAAGGTGTCAGGGAGGGAGCGGACCGTGTCACAGTTGTAGACCCTCCTCCCCCTGTTAGTCCTATGTCAGCTTCCTGATGTCAGTGTTACAAAGTCAATGATGGTATTACAGTGTTACCAAGGTTACATAGTACAGGATAATGTGACGGTGTTACCAAGGTTACAGAGCACATAATTAAGTCTGGGCACTCACAGGATCTTCTTTCATGAAGCAGAGGAACAGACTCCACATGAAGGAAGCTCCAGCAACAAACACTGGCTTGTAGAGGTGGGGCACGGCGGAGTAGTTGACTGTCTGCACGAAGGGCCAGAACATCAGCCCAGTCTGATACAGGGAAGAATAGTTATCACAGGTGCAGAAGCTCACCTTTATGAGCATTGTGTTAAACCCCCTTCTTCCCATGTATGTTTATTTTTCTGCCTTCTTCCTGTTCATGTATATTTCACCTGCCTTCTTCATTTTCATGTTTATTTTACTCCCTTCTTCCCTTTCATGTTTATTTTGACCGCCTCCGTGGTGTAGTGGTTAGAGTGTCCGCCCAGAGAGCGGAAGGTCGCGGGTTCGATCCCTGAACTGCGTCATACCAAAAGACGTTAATATATGGTACTTGTTGGTCCCTGCCTGGCGTTCGGCATTAATGGGTACAACAAGGACTGGTTGGCTCGGAGTCAGTATAATGTGTCTGAGTAGGGTATTCATGCTTCACTACGGCATGGTATCTCAGTGGGCTAGCACTATAAAACCAGCTTCAGTCTGGGCTAGTACAAGCAGCCGCACATACACATACACACGCATGCACGTCGTCATATGAGCGAAATGTTCTCAAGCGCAATGTTAAACCCAATTTCACCTCACCTCATGTTTATTTTACTCCCTTCTTCCCTCGTATTATATTACTGCCTTCTTCCCTTTCATGTTTATTTAACTCCCTTCTTCCCTTGTGGGAACAGTTTTCTTACATTCTTAACTTTTATGTTTATTTTACTCCCTTCTTCCCATGTACTTGTATTTGACTGCCTTCTTCTCTTTATTTCTATTTTACTGCCTTCTCACCTTGTATGTCTTGAGGAACTTTGCCTTGATTTCTGTAACTACATCCTTCCTTTCCAGGAGACTAGTAGCTGAAAACATACAGTGAGTGTTGGGCTTAATGTCATCATATGGAACAGTGTTTGAGATAGATTGGGATTATGTGGGAGAAAAGCTAAAGGAGTCACATGTCAACTTGTTCCTTCAAACTATCTACTGGTACATTCAAACCATTGAGCTACCTTGGGGAACAGCACAACTCATCTCTCAGGACTAATCTATCAAATATACAGTGGGGAACAGCACAACTCATCTCTCAGGACTAATCTATCAAATATACAGTAGGGAACAGCACAACTCATCTCTCAGGACTAATCTATCAAATACATTGGGGAACAGCACAACTCATCTCTCAGGACTAATCTATCAAATATACAGTGGGGAACAGCACAACTCATCTCTCAGGACTAATCTATCAACTATACAGTAGGGAACAGCACAACTCATCTCTCAGGACTAATCTATCAAATATACAGTAGGGAACAGCACAACTCATCTCTCAGGACTAATCTATCAAATATACAGTAGGGAACAGCACAACTCATCTCTCAGGACTAATCTATCAAATACATTGGGGAACAGCACAACTCATCTCTCAGGACTAATCTATCAAATACAGTGGGGAACAGCACAACTCATCTCTCAGGACTAATCTATCAACTATACAGTAGGGAACAGCACAACTCATCTCTCAGGACTAATCTATCAAATATACAGTAGGGAACAGCACAACTCATCTCTCAGGACTAATCTATCAAATATACAGTAGGGAACAGCACAACTCATCTCTCAGGACTAATCTATCAAATACAGTAGGGAACAGCACAACTCATCTCTCAGGACTAATCTATCAAATACAGTAGGGAACAGCACAACTCATCTCTCAGGACTAATCTATCAAATACAGTGGGGAACAGCACAACTCATCTCTCAGGACTAATCTATCAAATACATTGGGGAACAGCACAACTCATCTCTCAGGACTAATCTATCAAATATACAGTGGGGAACAGCACAACTCATCTCTCAGGACTAATCTATCAACTATACAGTAGGGAACAGCACAACTCATCTCTCAGGACTAATCTATCAAATATACAGTAGGGAACAGCACAACTCATCTCTCAGGACTAATCTATCAAATATACAGTAGGGAACAGCACAACTCATCTCTCAGGACTAATCTATCAAATACATTGGGGAACAGCACAACTCATCTCTCAGGACTAATCTATCAAATACAGTGGGAACAGCACAACTCATCTCTCAGGACTAATCTATCAACTATACAGTAGGAACAGCACAACTCATCTCTCAGGACTAATCTATCAAATACAGTAGGGAACAGCACAACTCATCTCTCAGGACTAATCTATCAAATAACAGTACAGTGGGGAACAGCACAACTCATCTCTCTCAGGACTAATCTATCAAATACACAGTGGGAACAGCACAACTCATCTCTCAGGACTAATCTATCAAATACAGTTGGGGAACAGCACAACTCATCTCTCAGGACTAATCTATCAAAATACAGTGGGGAACAGCACAACTCATCTCTCTCAGGACTAATCTATCAAATATACAGTAGGGAACAGCACAACTCATCTCTCAGGACTAATCTATCAAATATACAGTAGGAACAGCACAACCATCATCTCTCAGGACTAATCTATCAAATACATTGGGGAACAGCACAACTCATCTCTCAGGACTAATCTATCAAAATACAGTGGGGAACAGCACAACTCATCTCTCAGGACTAATCTATCAACTATACAGTAGGGAACAGCACAACTCATCTCTCAGGACTAATCTATCAAATATACAGTAGGGAACAGCACAACTCATCTCTCAGGACTAATCTATCAAATATACAGTGGGGAACAGCACAACTCATCTCTCAGGACTAATCTATCAATCTATACAGTAGGGAACAGCACAACTCATCTCTCAGGACTAATCTATCAAAATACAGTAGGGAACAGCACAACTCATCTCTCAGGACTAATCTATCAAATACAGTAGGGAACAGCACAACTCATCTCTCAGGACTAATCTATCAAATATACAGTGGGGAACAGCACAACTCATCTCTCAGGACTAATCTATCAAATACAGTAGGGAACAGCACAACTCATCTCTCAGGACTAATCTATCAAATATACAGTGGGGAACAGCACAACTCATCTCTCAGGACTAATCTATCAAATACAGTAGGGAACAGCACAACTCATCTCTCAGGACTAATCTATCAAATATACAGTAGGGAACAGCACAACTCATCTCTCAGGACTAATCTATCAAATACAGTGGGGAACAGCACAACTCATCTCTCAGGACTAATCTATCAAATACAGTGGGGAACAGCACAACTCATCTCTCAGGACTAATCTATCAAATATACAGTGGGGAACAGCACAACTCATCTCTCAGGACTAATCTATCAAATATACAGTAGGGAACAGCACAACTCATCTCTCAGGACTAATCTATCAAATATACAGTAGGGAACAGCACAACTCATCTCTCAGGACTAATCTATCAAATACATTGGGGAACAGCACAACTCATCTCTCAGGACTAATCTATCAAATACAGTGGGGAACAGCACAACTCATCTCTCAGGACTAATCTATCAACTATACAGTAGGGAACAGCACAACTCATCTCTCAGGACTAATCTATCAAATATACAGTAGGGAACAGCACAACTCATCTCTCAGGACTAATCTATCAAATATACAGTAGGGAACAGCACAACTCATCTCTCAGGACTAATCTATCAAATACAGTGGGGGAACAGCACAACTCATCTCTCAGGACTAATCTATCAAATACAGTAGGGAACAGCACAACTCATCTCTCAGGACTAATCTATCAAATATACAGTAGGGAACAGCACAACTCATCTCTCAGGACTAATCTATCAAATATACAGTAGGGAACAGCACAACTCATCTCTCAGGACTAATCTATCAACATACAGTGGGGAACAGCACAACTCATCTCTCAGGACTAATCTATCAAATATAGTGGGGAACAGCACAACAGCATCAACTCATCTCTCAGGACTAATCTATCAAATACATTGGGGAACAGCACAACTCATCTCTCAGGACTAATCTATCAAATACAGTGGGGAACAGCACAACTCATCTCTCAGGACTAATCTATCAAATATACAGTGGGGAACAGCACAACTCATCTCTCAGGACTAATCTATCAAATATACAGTGGGGAACAGCACAACTCATCTCTCAGGACTAATCTATCAAATACATTGGGGAACAGCACAACTCATCTCTCAGGACTAATCTATCAAATACAGTGGGGAACAGCACAACTCATCTCTCAGGACTAATCTATCAAATATACAGTAGGGAACAGCACAACTCATCTCTCAGGACTAATCTATCAAATACAGTGGGGAACAGCACAACTCATCTCTCAGGACTAATCTATCAAATACAGTGGGGAACAGCACAACTCATCTCTCAGGACTAATCTATCAAATATACAGTGGGGAACAGCACAACTCATCTCTCAGGACTAATCTATCAAATATACAGTAGGGAACAGCACAACTCATCTCTCAGGACTAATCTATCAAATATACAGTAGGGAACAGCACAACTCATCTCTCAGGACTAATCTATCAAATATACAGTGGGGAACAGCACAACTCATCTCTCAGGACTAATCTATCAAATACATTGGGGAACAGCACAACTCATCTCTCAGGACTAATCTATCAAAATACAGTGGGGAACAGCACAACTCATCTCTCAGGACTAATCTATCAAATATACAGTGGGGAACAGCACAACTCATCTCTCAGGACTAATCTATCAAATACAGTGGGGAACAGCACAACTCATCTCTCAGGACTAATCTATCAAATACAGTGGGGAACAGCACAACTCATCTCTCAGGACTAATCTATCAAATATACAGTGGGGAACAGCACAACTCATCTCTCAGGACTAATCTATCAAATACATTGGGGAACAGCACAACTCATCTCTCAGGACTAATCTATCAAATACATTGGGGAACAGCACAACTCATCTCTCAGGACTAATCTATCAAATACATTGGGGAACAGCACAACTCATCTCTCAGGACTAATCTATCAAATATACAGTGGGGAACAGCACAACTCATCTCTCAGGACTAATCTATCAAATATACAGTGGGGAACAGCACAACTCATCTCTCAGGACTAATCTATCAAAATACATTGGGGAACAGCACAACTCATCTCTCAGGACTAATCTATCAAATATACAGTGGGGAACAGCACAACTCATCTCTCAGGACTAATCTATCAAATATACAGTGGGGAACAGCACAACTCATCTCTCAGGACTAATCTATCAAATATACAGTGGGGAACAGCACAACTCATCTCTCAGGACTAATCTATCAAATACAGTGGGGAACAGCACAACTCATCTCTCAGGACTAATCTATCAAATATACAGTGGGGAACAGCACAGCTCATCTCTCAGGACTAATCTATCAAATACATTGGGGAACAGCACAACTCATCTCTCAGGACTAATCTATCAAATACATTGGGGAACAGCACAACTCATCTCTCAGGACTAATCTATCAAATACATTGGGGAACAGCACAACTCATCTCTCAGGACTAATCTATCAAATATACAGTGGGGAACAGCACAACTCATCTCTCAGGACTAATCTATCAAATATACAGTGGGGAACAGCACAACTCATCTCTCAGGACTAATCTATCAAATACATTGGGGAACAGCACAACTCATCTCTCAGGACTAATCTATCAAATATACAGTGGGGAACAGCACAACTCATCTCTCAGGACTAATCTATCAAATACAGTGGGGAACAGCACAACACTAATAGTAATAGTACTAACCTACTGGCAGCAAAGGGGAACAGCACAACTCAATGATCAGACACATCTGACTTACAACAAACGATTACCCAGAGATTGTACAGGAAAACTTACATGTGTAAAAACTCAGATTGCCGACAGGAGCAAACACAAGCTGTTCAATAACAACTTTCTTGATGACAGCGCTGAAGTGTGTTCCTGGCAAGACACGTTCTGCAAGTCGGATCCACCCAACAACAAGGGGAGCAATCACCATCGACCCAACCACTGTCATTCGGGCAGTTTTCCACATGTCAAGTTTCTTTTTCTTTGAGATGAGTTTCTGCTCGGAGACATCAGCAATGGTCCATAATATTGCATAGGTTGTCATAGTGTTGAGCATGGGGTGCTTCTTGAATATCAACACCATCTTGTCTGGAAGGTCTGTACAACATAGCAATATTGTATAAGATAATGTTACCCATGTTTTCAATATGATGCCTAGAAACTTCATTCGTTAGAAACTTCAGTATTGACAGCCTAGAGATCTTAAACATTCCCAAATGAAACACAGCTATTGTATTTTGATGTTGAAGTAGGTAAAACCAACAGAAAATCATATTTTGATTTGACAGTCGACATGCAATAACTTATGTTACTGAGGTTAGTTAGGATGAAGCTTAAAGGTCACAAGCAACGTAAAACACAACTTTGCAGATTCTGATACCTTTCGGTATGGACTTACCGAAACAAATCATCAAAAATGTAAATTCAACTTATAAAGTTGAAAAATAACGCGATGAAAAAAAACGCGCGCAAAATGGGAGTTCAAACGATTCACTAAAACTGGTTTCAACAGCTGGGCTGCGCTCATAGCACGTGCGCAGTAAAAGAGGTTCGCGTAACTTGGAAGCGGGCTGTCCGGTGAATACTCGGTGAAGGCTTTGGTGTGAGCTATTTTCCTAATGTTTTGTTGATATTTCACAGGCGCGAGCTTTTTTTATGTTATGACAATAAATAAACTGTTTATATAATTTCATTTGTCTATTTCACCACACGTTCTTCTTACCGAGTCACTTTCTCAGTTCAATACTTAAAAGCAATGTCATTATTTTAATTTAGCGTTGACAGAATTTCTAACTGTGATATAGATATGTCGTTTTACAGACAAAACTCAATGTCTTGTTTTATTGACACCTGTGTGTCTGCCTGCCTGTCTGCTAATGACAATATTCAACACACAACTGCGATCACTGACCACATGCAATTTGAACTTAACACCAATCAGGCTATACACCATAAACAAAACGCATTGATTTATGGCCCGAGTTCGGTCTCTGTCACATTATGTATTTACACAGACAGGCAGGTGTGATACTTGAACACATGACATGTTATGATGTCTGTTGATTGCAAAATGTTATACACAAAAAAATGAGCATGTATTTACAAAACCCAATATCTCTATATATACACACACAATGAGCCGTGAGGGCATCTGCAAATGAACCAGCTATTACACTTGAGTGCACACCCACCCGCTCTGACTGGGTTCGGTATCCCGGCTGCTTCGTTTCTTGGGGAATAAACCCATGTACACAATATTGCACTTTTGATTTGCGATTGTACGCTTAGAATTTTGTTTATATGTTATTTCATAACCAGCAATGTATATTATATGTCATGAATAAGTGATAATTGTGTTTTAATTATGTTTGATTTCTTGGTTGCATGTGACCTTTAAATGTTGCTTATTAGGAAGAAGAGCAGCTGTACTTGGCACCTTCCACCACAAGAACGAGATTCTTCCTTAGCTTTAGTTTCAACGTCGGTTAGAAATGGGGCTGAGGATAGTGCTGGAGCTGTTCTGAAAGTATCATAACTGGTCAATGCTGTAACTGGGACTGACACGCGTGGTAAGTGAAGCATGACCCAAAGACAGGTCAATGACATTTTTCAATACGGACGGATGTTTTGTTATGGCTGTCAACCAGCTGATAGTGATAACACTAGCCTCGATTTACAGTTAGACTAGCCCTACATTCTATTTACCCGGCTATCACTGCTTCCACTGCAGAACTGCCATCTGAGTCTTTCCCTCTCAAACGACCTTTCATCGGGTCTAATGTCACTGATTCGATATACTTCACCTCTTTCCTCTGGGCGCAGACATCTTGGAATGAAACAGAGGCTCCAGAATTTGACAACTTCCGCTTCGTGTCGGCACGCGACTGTGAGTTAGTACGAAGTGGAATAAGATATGAATTTGGCAATGACAGCTGGTGAATAACTAACGATAATAGTGTACGTCTTTGGAAAGTTGATGTACATCTACAGTTGCGATGCAATATAAACCATTCTTAGCCGCTTTCGTGGCTGTACTGGTGATGTATCTAGCTGATACCATCAGCCCACAAGATGAGAGAGGCACAGAACAGCAAAGGAGAGAGTCCCATAGGGCCAAACGAGCCATCGCACCGCCCCAACCCGCACCATTCACTACACTGACCCCAGCTCCTGTAACAGTAGCGGAGGTGAACACTACGGCAAAGTAAGTCTCCATAACAGGTTGACGGACGTGTTTTTCCGTTGTATCATGTCTATTGTTTACATTATCTATCCATCCATCCATCCATCCATCCATCCATCCATCCATCCATCCATCCATCTATCCATCTATCTATCTATCTATCTATCTATCTAATCCTGAATATTGCTGAATCAGTGAATGTGGAACTATTCACACCAAACAATACAAAATCAAATGTAAAGAAGCAGTTTTATTCGTTATGTTAGTAATTGGTTAGGTCTTTTCTAGAAGCTGCGTAAAACCTCACTCACTCCACTTACTCACTCACTCACTCAAACACCCACTCAGATTATACATGCCTTACCATGCCTTACCATGCCCCCTACCATGTCTATGACCTTCAGGCTAACTGTGGTTACCTGATTCTGCCCACCTTATATAGGTATGACAGCTCTTCCTGTTTGATCTTACCCAATCTCTTCATCTATACCTAATATTGTTTTGTAATGCTTGGCAGTGGCACCAATGGAACTGCTTTGAATCTCACAACATCGACAACACCTTTGCCGAAAAGTACCGAGCCGTCCCCTGAGGGGGACCTACCCAAGAAAGGGGCAGCGGAGGAGGAACACAGTAGCAGTCTCACCATCTTCTTTGTGCTGCTCATCGTGGGTAAGTACTGGAGTTAAATACCAGGATGCAATCTTTATTTCATTGTTAAAACTGACAGCCACTGTAGGAATCCAGCTTTTTGATGTGATTGAGATTATCCTTACAGGTCACATGCAACCCAAAATCAAACATAATTAAAACACAATTATCACTTATTCATGACATATAATATACATTGCTGGTTATGAAAAAACATATAAACAAAATTATAAGCGTACAATCGCAAATCAAAAGTGCAATATTGTGTACTTGGGTTTACTTCACAAGAAACGAAGCAGCCGGGGTACAGAACCCAGTCAGAGCGGGTGGGTGTGCACTCAAGTGTAATAGCTGGTTCATTTGCAGATGCCCTCACGGCTCATTGTGTGTGTATATATAGTGATGTTGGGTTTTGTAAATACATGCTCATTTTTTGTGCATAACATTTTGCAATCAACAGACATCATAACATGTCATGTGTACAAGTATCACACCTGCCTGTCTGTGTAATTACATAATGTGACAGAGACTGAACTCGGGCCGTAAATCAATGCATTTTGTTTATGGTGTATAGCCTGATTGGTGCTAAGTTCAAATTGCATGTGGTCAGTGATCGCAGTTGTGTATTGAATATTGTCATTAGCAGACAGGCAGGCAGACACATAGGTGTTAATAAAACAGACATTGAGTTTTGTCTGTGACAACGACATATCTATATCACAGTTAGAAATTCTGTCAACGCTAAATAATGACATGCTTTTAAGTATCGAACTGAGAAAGTGACTCGGTAAGAAGAACGTGTGGTGAAATAGACAAATGAAATTATATAAACAGTTAATCTACTGTCATAACATAAAAAAAGCTCGCGCCTGTGAAATATCAACAAAACATTAGAAAAATAGCTCACACCAAAGCCTTCACCGAGTATTCACCGGACAACCCACTTCCAAGCTGCGCGAACCTATTTCACTGCGCACGTGCTATGAGCGCAGCCCAGCTGTTGAAACCAGTTTTCCCCCGAAAAATGTTTGGGGAAAATTAGGGAATTGTTTGAACTCTGTTTTCGCGCAGTTTTTTTCATCACGTTATTTTTCAACTTTATAAGTTGAATTTAATATTTTTTTGATGATTTGTTTTGGTAAGTCCATACCGAAAGGTATCAGAATCTGCAAAGTTGTGTTTTACGTTGCATGGGACCTTTAACAACTGCAGCATAATTAACAATTGATTTCCACGAGACAGTTACAACACTTGTAAGGAATGTACTGTCAGTGATTGTGGGGTGTCTATATCATGATGTACGTGTATCATGGTAGTTTATTATCCTATAGAAACCGAGGTTGGTGAAACTGTTGAGCAGTTGGTGGTGCACGGCTTGTGTGTTTATCAATCTGTTTATTGATCAGCACCTGCTAGTTTCCGAAATCAATTTGACAGTTTAGCTGTGATTGTTACCAGCTATGATCATGATGACAGGTGCAAAAACTGTTAGGAGACAGGTTTCAGCTGGTGAGAAGCCTGTGTTGACATGGTCTTCATCTGTTCATTGTTTGGGAAAGTAACACATTTTTTCAAAACTGTATTTGAATCACAAATGACCCAAAAAATAATTCTTGGAATAGATATTTTGCCATCATGGCCTATTTTACACATCGTATTTTAGAATAGAAATGGAATGTTAAGTAGAAACTGTGAAGGAAGCACTGTGGTTCTAAGAAAACTAGGACATGTAAGGAGAGAGTAAAGACTACACACACAACATTATCGATAATGCCGACACATATAGTGTTTCCACTAAAGTACTGTCGGAAATAGAAAAAACCCTGTAACTCTGTATCCCTAAAATTTACACAATTGCAAATAGCATATCATCGAAATAACCCACATCGGCCTAACTGGGCATTCATTGGGATGCGTAATAGGATATGCAGAAAAGCATGTTTACTCGTAAAATCGGACAAAACTTAGAAAAATACGAATAGCTGCTGAAAACTATAGATCAGACTATTCATGGCAATTAGGTCACTCAGCGAGGTTTGACGACGGACCATCGACTTACCTGGCATGAAATGCACGTGCTGCCTACAGGCACAAGGGGTCATCTCATACATAGTTGATGCCTTTTCTTGTGTGTTGAATATGCCCCATCTATTGATTAACATCTTACGTGTATTTCTGTCATAAGTTTATGTTCTGATATGTAAAAGAGTATGATACCCTTAGAAAAGCATAATCAGTCATCATATTAAATGTCTCAAAATATATAGGTGGCATATGACCACCCGAAGATCGACAGGACTGGATATTATTTGTAAATTGTTATGGCATGCCGTTTACTTCCCCAGTTTAATTCACCTGAAGGATCATCTTATCTTAGCTGATATCTCTATACCCCAGCCCGACCCCAAACCACCGTCTGCGACACCCGTCCTTGTTTGGCTTTTGAGACGACCCCTCCTACCTGTTTCTTTTTATAGTGATAGTGAGACTCCATGGTTGCTACATCCTTAATAGTTTCAGTATTAAAGTTATTATTTTTTACTTTAGCTATTGTTTATAATGAAGCTAAGTCTAATTTCAAAATGGGTATTAAAAGAGTGTCCTTTGTAATACAATATCATCGCCCTCTAATTTGCATAAAGCCATGGCCTGTTCCAAATAAGTCGATTTGGACTTAGAGAAAAAAACCATTGCTTATTTCTGCCCTAATCTCTCCCTAGTAAGTCCAATTTTTATGTTTCCTATCTCCCTACCACTGAGACTGTAGTTAGGCCGAACTTAGTTTAACAAATATTTCACACTTTCACATATTATCTACATAAATGGTAGATGTAAATGTGAAATAACAGTGTTTTTCTATTTTCGACAGTACTTTACTTGCTGTACACAACATTATTGATAATAACGACACACGGTGAAGTGTTTCCACTTGTTACTGTATACAACATTATCGATAATAGCGACAGATGGTGAAGTGTTTCCACTTGCTGTACACAGCATTATCGATAATGCCGACACAAGGTGAAGTGTTTCCACCTGTTGCTGTATACAACATTATCGATAATAGCGACACATGGTGAAGTGTCTCCACCTCTTGCTGTATACAACATTATCGATAATAGCGACACATGGTGAAGTGTCTCCACCTCTTGCTGTATACAACATTATTGATAATAGCGACACATGGTGAAGTGTCTCCACCTCTTGCTGTATACAACATTATCGATAATAGCGACACATGGTGAAGTGTCTCCACCTCTTGCTGTATACAACATTATCGATAATAGCGACACATGGTGAAGTGTCTCCACCTCTTGCTGTATACAACATTATTGATAATAGCGACACATGGTGAAGTGTCTCCACCTCTTGCTGTATACAACATTATCGATAATAGCGACACATGGTGAAGTGTCTCCACCTCTTGCTGTATACAACATTATCGATAATAGCGACACATGGTGAAGTGTCTCCACCTCTAGCTGTATACAACATTATCGATAATAGCGACACATGGTGAGGTGTCTCCACCTCTTGCTGTATACAACATTATCGATAATAGCGACACATGGTGAAGTGTCTCCACCTCTTGCTGTATACAACAATATCGATAATAGCGACACATGGTGAAGTGTCTCCACCTCTTGCTGTATACAACATTATTGATAATAGCGACACATGGTGAGGTTTCCACTTGTTGCTGTACACAACATTATCGATAATAGCGACACATGGTGAAGTGTCTCCACCTCTTGCGGTATACAACATTATTGATAATAGTGACACATGGTGAGGTTTCCACTTGTTGCTGTACACAACATTATCGATAATAGCGACACATGGTGAGGTGTTTCCACTTGTTGCTATACACAACATTATTGGTAATAGCGACACATGGTGAAGTGTTTCCACTTGTTGCTATACACAACATTATTGGTAATAGCGACAGATGGTGACATGTTTCCACGTGTTGCTGTATACAACATTATTGATAAAAGCGACACATGGTGAAGTGTTTCCACTTGTTACTGTACACAACATTATCGATCATAGCGACACGTGGTGAAGTGTCTCCAACTGTTACGGTACACAACATTATCGATAATGGCGACACGTGGTGAAATGTCTCTACTTCTTGCTGTATACAACATTATCGATAATAGCTGTGTGCTGGTATGTTCTGTGTGTGGTGGTGTGTCCTGTATATGGTGGTATATCCTGTATATGGTGGTATGTCCTATATATGGTGGTATGTCCTGTGTATGGTGGTATGTCCTGTATATGGTGGTATGCTCTGTGTATGGTAGTATGTCCTGTATATGGTGGTATGTTCTGTGTATGATGGTATGTTCTGTGTTTGATGGTATGTCCTGTGTGTGATGGTGTGTCCTGTGTGTGGTGGTGTGTCTTGTGTATGATGGTATGTCCTGTGTATGGTGGTATGTCCTGTGTGTGGTGGTATGTTCTGTGTATGATGGTATGTCCTGTGTATGGTGGTATGTCCTGTGTGTGGTGGTATGTTCTGTGTATGATGGTATGTCCTGTGTGGTGGTGTGTCTTGTGTATGATGGTATGTCCTGTGTATGGTGGTATGTCCTGTGTGTGGTGGTATGTCCTGTATATGATGGTATGTCCTGTGTATGGTAGTATGTCCTGTATATGGTGGTATGTTCTGTGTATGATGGTATGTCCTGTGTGTGGTGGTATGTCCTGTGTGTGGTGGTATGTCCTGTGTATGGTGGTATGTCCTGTGTGTGGTGGTATGTTCTGTGTATGATGGTATGTCCTGTGTATGGTGGTATGTCCTGTGTATGGTGGTATGTTCTGTGTATGATGGTATGTCCTGTGTGGTGGTGTGTCTTGTGTATGATGGTATGTTCTGTGTATGATGGTATGTCCTGTGTGTGGTGGTGTGTCCTGTATATGATGGTATGTCCTGTGTATGGTGGTATGTCCTGTGTATGATGGTATGTCCTGTGTGTGGTGGTGTGTCTTGTGTGTGGTGGTGTGTCCTGTGTGGTGGGTATGTCCTGTGTATGATGGTATGTCCTGTGTGTGGTGGTGTGTCCTGTGTATGGTAGTATGTCCTGTGTATGATGGTATGTCCTGTGTGTGGTGGTGTGTTCCTGTGTATGATGGTATGTCCTGTGTGTGGTGGTATGTCCTGTGTGTGGTATGTTCTGTGTATGATGGTATGTCCTGTGTATGGTGGTGTGTCCTGTGTATGGTGGTATGTTCTGTGTATGATGGTATGTCCTGTGTATGGTGGTATGTCCTGTGTATGATGGTATGTCCTGTGTGTGGTGGTGTGTCTTGTGTGTGGTGGTGTGTCCTGTGTATGATGGTATGTCCTGTGTATGATGGTATGTCCTGTGTGTGGTGGTATGTTCTGTGTATGATGGTATGTCCTGTGTATGGTGGTATGTCCTGTGTATGATGGTATGTCCTGTGTGTGGTGGTGTGTCTTGTGTGTGGTGGTGTGTCCTGTATATGATGGTATGTCCTGTGTATGGTGGTATGTTCTGTGTATGATGGTATGTCCTGTGTGTGGTGGTATGTCCTGTGTATGATGGTATGTCCTGTGTGTGGTGGTGTGTCCTGTGTGGTGGTGTGTCCTGTATATGATGGTATGTCCTGTGTATGGTGGTATGTTCTGTGTATGATGGTATGTCCTGTGTGTGGTGGTGTGTCCTGTGTGTGGTGGTGTGTCCTGTGTATGATGGTATGTCCTGTGTGTGGTGGTATGTCCTGTGTATGATGGTATGTTCTGTGTATGATGGTATGTCCTGTGTGTGGTGGTGTGTCCTGTATATGGTGGTATGCTCTGTGAATGGTGGTATGTTCTGTGTATGATGGTATGTTCTGTGTATGGTGGTATGTTCTGTGTATGATGGTATGTCCTGTGTGTGGTGGTATGTCCTGTGTATGGTGGTATGTTCTGTGTATGATGGTATGTCCTGTGTGTGGTGGTATGTTCTGTGTATGATGGTATGTTCTGTGTGTGGTGGTGTGTCCTGTATATGATGGTATGTTCTGTGTATGGTGGTATGTCCTGTGTATGGTGGTATGTCCTGTGTGTGGTGGTATGTTCTGTGTATGATGGTATGTCCTGTGTGTGGTGGTGTGTCCTGTGTATGATGGTATGTCCTGTGTATGGTGGTATGTCCTGTGTATGATGGTATGTCCTGTGTGTGGTGGTGTGTCTTGTGTGTGGTGGTGTGTCCTGTATATGATGGTATGTTCTGTGTATGATGGTATGTCCTGTGTGTGGTGGTGTGTCCTGTATATGGTGGTATGCTCTGTGAATGGTGGTATGTTCTGTGTATGATGGTATGTTCTGTGTATGGTGGTATGTTCTGTGTATGATGGTATGTTCTGTGTATGATGGTATGTCCTGTGTGTGGTGGTGTGTCTTGTGTATGATGGTATGTCCTGTGTGTGGTGGTATGTCCTGTGTATGGTGGTATGTCCTGTGTATGGTGGTGTGTCCTGTGTATGGTGGTATGTTCTGTGTATGATGGTATGTCCTGTGTGTGGTGGTGTGTCTTGTGTATGATGGTATGTCCTGTGTGTGGTGGTATGTCCTGTGTGTGGTGGTGTGTCCTGTATATGATGGTATGTTCTGTGTATGATGGTATGTCCTGTGTGGTGGTGTGTCTTGTGTATGATGGTATGTCCTGTGTGTGGTGGTATGTCCTGTGTGTGGTGGTATGTCCTGTGTATGGTGGTATGTCCTGTGTATGGTGGTATGTTCTGTGTATGATGGTATGTCCTGTGTGTGGTGGTGTGTCCTGTATATGGTGGTATGCTCTGTGAATAGTGGTATGTTCTGTGTATGATGGTATGTTCTGTGTATGGTGGTATGTTCTGTGTATGGTGGTATGTCCTGTATATGGTGGTATGTTCTGTGTATGATGGTATGTCCTGTGTGTGGTGGTATGTCCTGTGTGTGGTGGTATGTCCTGTGTGTGGTGGTATGTTCTGTGTATGGTGGTGTGTCCTGTATATGGTGGTATGTTCTGTGTGTGGTGGTATGTCCTGTGTGTGGTGGTGTGTCCTGTATATGATGGTATGTTCTGTGTATGGTGGTATGTCCTGTGTGTGGTGGTATGTCCTGTGTGTGGTGGTATGTCCTGTGTGTGGTGGTATGTTCTGTGTATGGTGGTGTGTCCTGTATATGGTGGTATGTTCTGTGTGTGGTGGTATGTCCTGTGTGTGGTGGTGTGTCCTGTATATGATGGTATGTTCTGTGTATGGTGGTATGTCCTGTGTGTGGTGGTATGTTCTGTGTGTGGTGGTATGTGTGTATGGTGGTGTGTCCTGTGTATATGGTGGTGGTGGTGTTCTGTGTATGGTGGTATGTTCTGTGTGTGGTGGTGTGTTCTGTGTATGATGGTATGTTCTGTGTATGGTGGTATGTTCTGTGTGTGGTGGTATGTTCTGTGTATGGTGGTATGTTCTGTGTATGGTGGTATGTTCTGTGTATGGTGGTATGTCCTGTGTGCGGTGGTATGTTCTGTGTATGATGGTATTTTCTGTGTATGGTGGTATGTCCTGTGTATGGTAGTATGTCCTGTGTGCGGTGGTATGTTCATGCCTGTTTCTTGTGATCCTCCTATGGCAGACTTAACAGCTTGTCGTAATTTCAACTGTGTGGTTCCTGGAACATTACTCATGTTATCAGTCACCTGTCTGACTGGTCTAGACTGTACTTATTACAGACTGCCTTCATAAAAAGTTCCAAATCACAAACTGTGGGAAAGCCATGTAAATCATGTAAAATGGTTTGGTGTGTAAGACAGAGAGGACTCAACAATTTGTGTAGTAATCTTCTAACTGTATTCCCATCACACACTTACCTACAGCGAAAATAGTAGATGGCTGAATACCTTGTGCATTCTGAATTTAATAGTGAATTGCTTATGAAACTAACAAATTCACATAAATGTTTACCTCGCACATCGCAGTGCATGACAACTGAGAACACTGGGTGAAACAGACCGAAACTAACACTACAACTGCATTAATTTACATTTAATGTTCATAACTTGTTATTAATTTACCATATTATACTTATTTCTTGACATAAAATTAATAATATATACATGAAGAGTGGTTTCTCTACACATAATTGTTAGCGATGATCTCTCGGCTTCATGGAACAAACTCCGAGCTCTGCATAGTGGGGAGATTTTTTTATACAATTTTGCAAGGGGAAGTCACTGATATAGTAAATCATTATAGTTCACACTTCTGGCCGAAATAAAATTATAATCAACCATAAAATAAGTAATTGAATTAAATTCTCAACAAGGTTGAATAGTTTCCAACTGTTCCGAGGCACCTAACAGTGAGAATCTAATCTATTTTCAGCCATCAGTATTCTGCTGACCCACATGCTGATCCAGACCAAGTTCTACTACCTGCCTGAGAGCATCGCTATTGTCCTTGTTGGTGAGTGCTCCCTTCCCGGTCCATGTCCACCCTCTGTTGTACCTGCCTGAGAGCATCGCTATTGTCCTTGTTGGTGAGTGCTCCCTTCCCGGTCCATGTCCACCCTCTGTTGTACCTGCCTGAGAGCATCGCTATTGTCCTTGTTGGTGAGTGCTCCCTTCCCGGTCCATGTCCACCCTCTGTTGTACCTGCCTGAGAGCATCACTATTGTCCTTGTTGGTGAGTGCTCCCTTGCCGGTCTTGTCCTTGTTGGTGAGTGCTCCCCTTCCCGTCCATGTCCACCCTCTGTTGTACCTGCCTGAGAGCATCGCTATTGTCCTTGTTGGTGAGTGCTCCTTCCGGTCCATGTCCACCCCTCTGTTGTACCTGCCTGAGAGCATCGCTATTGTCCTTGTTGGTGAGTGCTCCCTTCCCGGTCCATGTCCACCCTCTGTTGTACCTGCCTGAGAGCATCGCTATTGTCCTTGTTGGTGAGTGCTCCCTTTCCGGTCCATGTCCACCCTCTGTTGTACCTGCCTGAGAGCATCGCTATTGTCCTTGTTGGTGAGTGCTCCTCTGTTGTACCTGCCTGAGGTCCATGTCCACCCTCTGTTGTACCTGCCTGAGAGCATCGCTATTGTCCTTGTTGGTGAGTGCTCCCTTCCCGGTCCATGTCCACCCTCTGTTGTACCTGCCTGAGAGCATCGCTATTGTCCTTGTTGGTGAGTGCTCACTTCCCGGTCCATGTCCACCCTCTGTTTTACCTGCCTTCATCTCAACCTTCAACTTGACCTCCAATTAGATCATGTTGAAGCTTCTTTCTGTTCTGTATTCCAGGTGCCTTGATTGGTCTCATCCTCAAACTTTTCCATTTTGGAAATTGGAAGGTAAGATTTCATATGCAACAATTTTGTACAGTTTGTTAAATGAATCATATCTAAAAGTCTCCACCCACTAATATGATTAATTTGTTTGTTTCATTGTCTTTCTAAACGACATCATCATTGATGGATCAAAGCTGTCACGATAACTTATACATGTCTGCCCTGGAGGTTGATCTTGCTTGTATCAATTTCAAATCACGTAGGCATGAATATACCGATGAGATAGAGGATCCAGTTTGTCACGAGTATACCGATGAGTTAGAGGATCCAGTTTGTCACGAGTATACCGATGAGATAGAGGATCCAGTTTGTCACGAGTATACCGATGAGATAGAGGATCCAGTTTGTCACGAGTATACCGATGAGATAGAGGATCCAGTTTGTCACGAGTATACCGATGAGTTAGAGGATCCAGTTTGTCACGAGTATACCGATGAGATAGAGGATCCAGTTTGTCACGAGTATACCGATGAGATAGAGGATCCAGTTTGTCACGAGTATACCGATGAGATAGAGGATCCAGTTTGTCACTGTCATATTTATTGCTGTGTGTTGTTTGTCAGAATGAAGAAGCCTTCAGCCCAACCATCTTTTTCATCGTGCTTCTACCACCCATCATCTTTGAATCTGGCTACAACTTACATAAGGTAAGAAGGTCATCGCATGGTCATGGTGACTGGATTTATCTACAGGAAACTCAAAAGGTTTAAGAAATAATAGGTGATAATTAAAATATTCTCACACTCACAAGTTTGTCATTCAGATTTTATTATACACATGTATGAATTAATGTATGAGCCTCACTGTCACTCCAGAAAAAGTTCTGACACTCATTGACCCGTGAAGATCTGGGTTGGAATTGATCTTCATAAACCCATGCTTGTCATACGAGACGGCTAACGGGATTGGGCGGTCAGGCTCGCTGACTGGGTTGACACTTGTCATCGGTTCCCAATTGGGCAGATCGCTGTTCATGATGCTGTTCCCTGGATTGTCTGGTCCAGACCTGATTATTTACAGACCGCCGCCATTTTGCTGGAATATTGCTGAGTGCGGCGTAAAACTAAACTCACTCACTCTGACACTCATTAGTGAAGTCAGTATAAAACACATGCTCAAATGATAATCTCCATGGATTGTGATGCCTTGTCTCGCAAACACTTGTAACCTTTCTGAACTGTCAACACAAAAAGGTTTCTTAAGATGCTCTGTTTTCTTGTGATGCTGTATTGTGTTCTAATGCAGTGTTACGTTCTTTCAGGGTAATTTCTTCCAGAATATTGGTTCCATCCTGGTGTTTGCTGTGTTTGGAACAGCGATATCGGCTGTCATTGTTGGAGGGGGCATCTACCTTCTGGGACAGGTAATATGTTGGCATGTAACTGGTTCACACTATATATCACCTGTGGAAGAAATGTGATTGTTGTGAACCTGTGTTCCTGTGGTGAAAGTGAAGCTGTGTTCCTGTGGTGAAAGTGAAGCTGTGTTCCTGTGGTGAAAGTGAACCTGTGTTACTGTGGTGAAAGTGAACCTGTGTTATTGTGGTGAAAGTGAACCTGTGTTCCTGTGGTGAAAGTGAACCTGTGTTCCTGTGGTGAAAGTAAAGCTGTGTTACTGTGGTGAAAGTGAACCTGTGTTCCTGTGGTGAAAGTGAACCTGTGTTCCTGTGGTGAAAGTGAACCTGTGTTACTGTGGTGAAAGTGAACCTGTGTTATTGTAGTGAAAGTGAACCTATGTTGTGGTGAAAGTGAACCTGTGTTCCTGTGGTGAAAATGAACCTGTGTTCCTGTGGTGAAAGTGATCCTGTGTTACTGTGGTGAAAATGAACCTGTGTTACTGTGGTGAAAGTGAACCTGTGTTCCTGTGGTGAAAGTGAACCTGTGTTCCTGTGGTGAAAGTGAACCTGTGTTCCTGTGGTGAAAGTGATCCTGTGTTACTGTGGTGAAAGTGAACCTGTGTTATTCTGGTAAAAGTGAACCTGTGTTCCTGTGGTGAAAGTGAACCTGTGTTCCTGTGGTGAAAGTGAAGCTGTGTTACTGTGGTGAAAGTGAACCTGTGTTATTGTGGTGAAACTGAACCTATGTTGTGGTGAAAGTGAACCTGTGTTCCTGTGGTGAAAGTGAACCTGTGTTCCTGTGGTGAAAGTGAACCTGTGTTATTGTGGTGAAAGTGAACCTATTTTGTGGTGAAAGTGAACCTATGTTGTGGTGAAAGTGAACCTGTGTTATTGTGGTGAAAATGAACCTGTGTTCCTGTGGTGAAAGTGAACCTGTGTTCCTGTGGTGTAATTGAAGCTGTGTTACTGTGGTGAAAGTGAACCTGTGTTATTGTGGTGAAAGTGAACCTATGTTGTGGTGAAAATGAACCTGTGTTCCTGTGGTGAAAGTGAACCTGTGTTCCTGTGGTGAAAGTGATCCTGTGTTACTGTGGTGAAAGTGAACCTGTGTTCCTGTGGTGAAAGTGAACCTGTGTTCCTGTGGTGAAAATGAACCTGTGTTACTGTGGTGAAAGTGAAGCTGTGTTACTGTGGTGAAAGTGAACCTGTGTTCCTGTGGTGAAAGTGAACCTGTGTTCCTGTGGTGAAAGTGAACCTGTGTTACTGTGGTGAAAGTGAACCTGTGTTCCTGTGGTGAAAGTGAACCTGTGTTCCTGTGGTGAAAGTGAACCTGTGTTACTGTGGTGAAAGTGAACCTGTGTTCCTGTGGTGAAAGTGAACCTGTGTTACTGTGGTGAAAGTGAACCTATGTTGTTGTGAAAGTGAACCTATGTTGTGGTGAAAGTGAACCTGTGTTATTGTGGTGAAAATGAACCTGTGTTCCTGTGGTGAAAGTGAACCTGTGTTATTGTGGTGAAACTGGACCTATGTGATTGTGGTGAAAGTGGTGAAAGTGAACCTGTGTTACTGTGGTGAAAGTGAACCTGTGTTCCTGTGGTGAAAGTGAACCTGTGTTATTGTGGTGAAAGTGAAGCTGTGTTATTGTAGTGAAAGTGAACCTGTGTTATTGTGGTGAAAGTGAACCTGTGTTCCTGTGGTGAAAGTGAACCTGTGTTACTGTGTTCACAGGCAGATGTGGCGTTCAAGTTGGACATCATCGAGAGTTTTGCGTTTGGGTCCCTGATCTCGGCTGTGGACCCGGTGGCTACCCTTGCTATCTTCCATGCCCTGGATGTGGACCCCATTCTGTACATGCTGGTGTTTGGCGAGAGTGTGCTCAATGATGCAGTTTCCATCGTGCTGACAACGTGAGTGCAGTTCTTTCCCGACTTCCTTCTATCAACAATACTTGTTGAGATGTGTGGGCCGAGTTGCATCACTCGTCAGAGATTTGGCGATATCTGGGGGGTCAGGGGCATCACACCCTTTAATTGTTAGCTCTCAGTTAAATAATGGGGGGGGTCCAAGTGATGTAAGATTGCACGTGCACATTGTGAGAAGTTGTTAGTTGAATGAATTTGACATTGTATTGTAAACCTGTTGTGCCTCATTGTGACTCCAAGACACTGTCATGCCAATTTCTTCTGCCAAACTCCCAGATTCCATCATGTACAGTTGTGTTATCTATGTTAATTGAATCATTACCTGAAGGGGTCACAGTCTCAGGATTTCACATTCCATGTTTTTGTTTTTCAGCACTATCGTAGAATTCGCGGCCCCTGGTACGGTGGTGACCAGCGGGGCGGCTGCCTTCTTCCAAGCTGTCGGCAGATTCTGTCTCATGTTCTTTGCATCGTCTGCCATTGGGGTGGCATGTGGCCTTGTCAGTGCAATGGTATCCTTGTGTAGAACAATAATGATATATATGCCGGGTCATTCATGTGTAACCATGACAACAAAGGTGACCCTGCCAGACCGTGCAGTGCACGTGTACTTGGGTCTCTGCTCACCTTGCTCAAGGCTCTGTTATAAAGCTATTTAAGTACATTTTGTCGTGTAACTGTGAAATCAGGTATTCATACCCACTCACTCACTCAGACACTCACTCACACAGATTGATGCTCTTGGTGTCAATCGCTGGATTGTCTGCCTACGAATTGAATATTTAAAGACTGCCATCATATAGCTGGAAAATTGCTTAACAAACTCATTGAAGACACTTTCACCCCCTTTCTCTTGACTCACTGGCAACCAACTGATTCATCCCTTTCTCTTGACCGACTGGCAACCAACTGATCCACCCACTTTCTCTTGACCGACTGGCAACCAACTGATTCACCCCCTTTCTCTTGACCGACTGGCAACCAACAACTGGCAGCCAACTGATTCACCCACTTTCTCTTGACTGACTGGCAACCAACTGATTCATCCCCTTTCTCTTGACCGACTGGCAACCAACTGATTCACCCCCTTTCTCTTGACCGACTGGCAACCAACTGATTCACCCACTTTCTCTTGACCGACGGGCAACCAACTGATTCACCCCCTTTCTCTTGACCGACGGGCAACCAACTGATTCAACTATGTGAGCCAAACAAGTGTGACTGACACAGAATGGGAGAAGTTTGTTGTCCTTAGCGTCTCTTCAGTTACTCAAGTTTGTTGATCTACACAAGACGCCCTCCTTGGAGTTTGGGATGATGTTTATATTTTCTTATTTGCCATATGGCTTGGCCGAGGGCATCCATCTATCAGGTGAGCATCTTTTCCATACATCATTTTCAGGAACTCATTGATACAGGAACGTTCTGGGTACCCAGGGTACAACAGATCCCCACAACCCTAATAATAATAGTGCACATTTATAATTTCGCTCATTTCCACGCTAGCAGCATGCTCAAGGTGCAACAATCAAAAGTACATAGGAAGGGATGATGACAATGTTAGTATGATTCATAGAACTGGCGGAAATGATAGGTTTTGAGACTTGCTTTGAATGAATCAAACGGAGAAAGTTTAAGATCTTGGGGAAGAAAGTTCCACATGTAGGGGGCATAATGTTCAAAAGATCTCTGACCAAAGGACTTGAGTTTGTATTGTGGCACTGTCAGTAGGTTTTGGTGTAGAGAACTTAGTTCCCATGCTGGGGCATAGGCTGATATCAGCTCTGATACGTATTGAGGAGATTGCTGGTGCAGAGATTTATATGTCAGACAGAGAATTGTGAACTGGATCCTTGCTCTTATGGGAAGCCAGTGGAGATTTCTAAGAACAGGACTGATGTGGGATTTCTTGAAGGTGAGGGTCACGATTCGTGCTGCTGTATTTTGCACCTTTTGAAGTTTGTCGAGGAGGACATCAGGAAGAGTCCTACATAGAGGCTGTTACAGTAGTCGAGGAGGACATCAGGGAGTCCTACATAGAGGCTGTTACAGTAGTCAAGTCTACTCAGTATCAGGCATCTAGCTAGACAATTAGCAGCTTCCACGGTGATCAAGGGACAAATATTCCCAATCTCTCGGAGATTCCAGTAGCAAGTCTTGCAGACGTTATTAATCTGAGCTTCCATGGAAAGCGTTGGGTCCAGCAGGACACCAAGATCTTTGACAGTCTTTGCTAACTGGACTTCTGTGTCTGAGACATTAATGGCGTGTATGTCCACCTTTTGGAGCTGCTGCTTGGTTCCGAATAGGATCGCTTCAGTTTTATCGCTGTTCAATTTGAGTTTGTTTGTGGTCATCCAAGATTTCAAGGACTTGGTGCAATCAGCCTTATCACGGAGAGCTTCAAGTGAGTTCTGAGGACGAAATTGGTTGTACAATTGACAGTCATCAGCATAGGAGTGATGAAGGAGACGGTGCTGTGAGATGATGCTTGAAGTACTGCCACAGTAGAGGACGAATAGCACTGGACCTAGAACCGATCCTTGCGGGACACCATACTGCATGTTAACAGAGGATGACTTGTCATTTCCAATCATTACAAATTGTAATCTTCCATGACTGTATGAAGATATCCACCGCAGCATCGATACCATACTGATGTTGGAGTCTGTCTGGAAGAAGGTTGTTATCGATCGTATCGAAAGCTGAAGACAAGTCCAGTAGACTCTGTTATAAAAACAATATCCAAATCCTTGTCAGTGATGAGATCCACATGCAGAGGCCCAGATAAGCTGCGTATCCGGGTAAAATACGCATAGAATTACGCATTGAAAAATAATTGTTGCGTACCAATTACGCATTTAAAAAGGTAGATACGCAAAAAGTTTAAAACAAATGCGTACGGAATATATTTATAAAATTCACTTGCGTAATGAAAAAGACATTTATTGCTATCAAGTTATACTGTTAGTATAGGACAAGTGTTGTACTGTCAGTATGGGATGAGTGATTTTTTATGAAATCATTTCCATTATATTAAAGTTGGTTTTGATCAGGTATGACATAAGGCAGAACATACCTGCTTAGTAAACTTGCTCAATGACATAATACTTAGGTGAATAAAGTGACTGAAATACGCACATATTTGAAAGCAGTGGGTAACGGAAAATGAAATACCCACTCAACATTCATAATACCCACTCCAAAAAAATACAGTGGGTACAGTACCCACATGAGCTAAATCTTATCTGGAGCTCTGCACATGATCATGTAGCCACGACTCTGTTATAAAAACAATATCCAAATCCTTGTCAGTGATGAGATCCACATGATCATGTAGCCACGACTCTGTTATAAAAACAATATCCAAATCCTTGTCAGTGACGAGATCCACATGATCATGTAGCCACGACTCTGTTATAAAAACAATATCCAAATCCTTGTCAGTGATGAGATCCATAATATCCGTTGCCTTGTTTTCTTGCAGATTGAGCGTTCGTTCCAGACACAAACTCTGAGATCAGATAAACTTGTTTTTTTGTTGAAATATCCTTCAGATTGTTAAAATTAACTCCATTGAAACTTTTGATCTTGTCACGAACTTTTCTGCCACCTCTTTTGCCTCTCTTTGTTTTTCTTCTGATTGACAAACCTTGATTGCGTAAGGGGCGGTGGGGTAGCCTAGTGGTTAAGGCGTTCGCTCGTTACGCCGAAGACCCGGGTTCGATTCCCCACATGGGTACAATATTGTTAAGCCCATTTCTGGTGTTATGTAACGCCTCTAAAAGTGCTGATATTGCAGTCCAGGAATATTGCTGAAAACAGCGTAAAACCAAACTCACTCACTCACTTGATTATGTTGAGACCACGTTCTCTAAAAGTGCTGAGTGTTAAACAGTAGGGACAGTCCAGATAATTCATTAATGAACAACAGCTTCTAAAGCAATCAAGAAACAATAGATTGTCCCTGGTGTAGGAGGCAGTAGGTTTATGATCCATTGTTGAGACCACAGGGTTGGCTTGGGTGCAAAATGCAACACAAAATGCCAAATAGGTCCACATTGGGGGAGGGTACAAAGATAACCATACTGAAACTTACAACAGATCTGCACTACTGGGGGTCCAGGGTACAACAGATCCCCAACCAGGGTACAACAGTTCCCCACCCCCCTACTGGAGGACCAGGGTACAACGGATCCCCACCACCCTACTGGGGGACCAGAGTACAACAGATCCCCACCACCCTACTGGGGGTCCAGGGTACAACAGATCCCCACCCTACTGGGGGACCAGGGTACAACAGATCCCCACCACCCTACTGGGGGTCCAGTAAAACATAGAGGTTGTGTGTGTTCATAGGTCATGGAGGAACATCGGGAATCCTGCCAAGCACTGGAGATGCACAAACTATAAAAGGATTTTTCTTAAATTTGCTTCCAATTCACCACCATGTTTATAGTTCCTTCAGCGACATCTCCACACACATTATTCCTTCAGCTGCCTGTGTTTGACTGTTCAGGTATCATGGCCATCTTGTTCTGTGGAATTGTCATGTCACACTACACCCATAACAACCTGTCAGCCGTCACGCAGATCACCGTGCAGCAGACATTCCGTACCATAGCCTTTATAGCAGGTGAGTCGTTATAGCGGGTGAGTCATTATAGCAGGTGAGTTGTTATAGCTGGTGAGTCTTTATAGCAGGTGAGTCCTTATAGGAGGTAAGTCTTTATAGCGAGTGAGTCGTTATAGCAGGTGAGTCTTTACAGCAGGTGAGTCTTTATAGGAGGTGAGTCTCTATAGCAGGTGAGTCGTTAAAGCAGGTGAGTCTATAGCAGAGGAGTCTTTACAGCAGGTGAGTCTTTATAGGAGGTGAGTCTCTATAGCAGGTGAGTCTTTATAGCAGGTGAGTCTATAGCAGAGGAGTCTATAGCAGGGAAGTCTTTATAGCAGGGGAGTCTATAGCAGGAGTCTTTATAGCAGGGGAGTCTATAGCAGGAGAGTCTTTATAGCAGGTGAGTCTATAGCAGAGGAGTCTTTATAGCAGGGGAGTCTATAGCAGGGGAGTCTTTATAGCAGGGGAGTATAGCAGGTGAGTCTTTATAGCAGGAGAGTCTTTATAGCAGGTCAGTCTATAGCAGGGAAGTCTTTATAGGAGGGGAGTCTTTATAGCAGGAGAGTCTTTATAGCAGGTGTCTTTATAGCAGGGGAGTCTTTATAGGAGGGGAGTCTTTATTGCAGGGGAGTCTATAGCAGGGAAGTCTTTATAGGAGGGGAGTCTTTATAGCAGGAGAGTGTATAGCAGGGGAGTCTATAGCAGGGGAGTCTTTATAGCAGGGGAGTCTTTATAGCAGGTGTCTTTATAGCAGGGGAGTCTTTATAGCAGGTGAGTCTTAATAGGAGGGGAGTCTTTATAGAAGGGGAGTCTATGGCAGGGAAGTCTTTATAGCAGGGGAGTCTTTATAGGAGGGGGGTCTTTATAGCAGGGGAGGCTTTATAGCAGGAGTCTTTATAGCAGGGGAGTCTTTATAGCAGGTGTCTTTATAGCAGGTGAGTCTATAGCAGGGAAGTCTTTGTAGGAGGGGAGTCTTTATAGCAGGGGAGTCTTTATAACAGGGGAGTCTATAGCAGGGGAGTCTTTATAGCAGGAGTCTGTATAGCAGGTGTCTTTATAGCAGGGAAGTCTTTATAGCAGGTGTCTTTATAGCAGGAGAGTCTTTATAGCAGGTGTCTTTATAGCAGGGAAGTCTTTATAGCAGGGGAGTCTATAGCAGGGAAGTCTTTATAGCAGGGGAGTCTATAGCAGGGGAGTCTATAGCAGGGGAGTCTTTATAGCAGGTGTCTTTATAGCAGGAGAGTCTTTGTAGCAATGGAGTCTTTATAGGAGGGGAGTCTTTATAGCAGGTGAGTCTATAGCAGGGAAGTCTTTATAGGAGGGGAGTCTTTATAGCAGGGGAGTCTTTATAGCAGGTGAGTCTTTATAGCAGGTGAGTCTATAGCAGGAGAGTTTTTATAACAGGTGTCTTTATAGCTGGTGAGTCTTTATAGGAGGTGAGTCATTATAGCAGGTGACCGCCTCCGTGGTTTAGTGGTTAGAGCGTCCGCCCGGAGAGCAGAAGGTCGCGGGTTCGCTTCCCGACCGCGTCATACCAAAAGACGTTAAAATATGGTACTTGTTGGTCCCTGCCTGGCGCTCGTCGTTAATCGGTACAACAACGACAAAGTCAGTATAGCAGGTGAGTCTTTATAGCAGGTGAGTCTTTATAGCTGGTGTTCTTATAGGAGGTAAGTCATTATAGCAGGTGAGTCATTATAGGAGGTGAGTCTTTATAACAGATAAATCTTTATAGTAGTAAAGTCTTTATAGCAGATGAGTTGTTATAGCACACACCCTTCATTACAAGTATGTCTTTGTAACAGATGTGCTTTTACAGACGGTAATCTGAGAACAGCGTTATAGTAGGTAACATTGAGAACAGCAGGTGACGCTGTAGATGATCTCTTGGTGTAGAGAATCTCGAGGTCACCAGTGTAGAAAATCTCCAGATGACTTCATATGTTGAGAATATGTAGATCACCACTGTAATCTGTTAATCACCAGTGTAGCGAATCTGTAGGGTGCAGTGACTTCCAGGTCTTATGTCAGCTTCCTGGATTCAGTGTTCTGTCAGTGCCAGTTGTCACGGTAACCTGACTCCTGATGAGGCAAGCTGTTCCATCTGTCCCTGGTATCCAGGTGATGATGCTGCTACCTACACTGTGTATTAGCATAACATTTGATTAGGATTCAGCTGACTGACACTACCCACCAGAGCGGAAGACAATTGATTTATTCAGTCCTAGCAAAAATATTAATCAGTATGGAACACCGATAATTGTTTTGTATTTATGACTTGTCAAAAGAGAGATGATTGTAGTTGTGGGTCAAGGATAAATATAATGGTTATCCTCCTGTCACTACAGTCGTCATGGAGATCACATGACCAAACCAGGCTAGTATCAGACTGTCAGAGTTGTGTAAGGACCTGTGACTAGCAGGGGGGTAATGACAGAAATACGAAGTTCCATATGCCACTTCCTTGGTATTGTTTTGATAGCTCATCAAGATGGACACAAAGTAACAGTCAGATGATTTTCTTTCTTTTTCAGAAACGTGTGTGTTTGCCTATCTTGGGTTAGCCATTTTCAGTTTTAAAGTCAACGTGAAGCCAGCATTTGTCATATGGAGTATAGTAAGTACTGTAACTTCTCGTCTTCCAGTCAGTTGATAAAGTCAGTGTGGAGTCATTGTTATGCCCCGCAACGCGTTTTGCGGGGGGTATTAAAATGGACTCCGTCCGTCCGTCCGTGCACATTTGTCTTTCCGGAGCAGAACTTTAAAACCGTTCACTATTTCTTCACCAAACTTGGCACACAGATTGGTCTGGTGGTGTACTGGTGCCTTTTGGTAGTTTTGGAATTCTGAATAAAATATTTTTGGCATTTCCATGGCAACAAGTTTGACTTAGACTGAAATTGGTGGTTGTGCTCTTTTCCGGAGCAGAACTCTAAAACCATTCACTATTTCTTCACCAAACTTGGCACATAGATTGGTCTGGAGGTGTACTGGTGCCTTTTGGTAGTTTTGGAATTCTGAATAAAATATTTTTGGCATTTCCATGGCAACAAGTTTGACTTAGACTGAAATTGGTGGTTGTGTTCTTTTCCGGAACAGAACTCTAAAACTGTTCACTATTTCTTCACCAAACTTGGCACATAGATTGGTCTGGTGGTGTACTGGTGCCTTTTGGTAGTTTTGGAATTCTGAATAAAATATTTTTAGCGTTTCCATGGCAACTGAGACTGAAATTGGTGATAGTGCTCCTTTCAATGCTCTCCTTCCACTTTTCTATATACACACCTAAATATTTGACATAGTCATAACTCGTAGACATAATCATGAAGAGTATTTTGCCATTGAGGGGGATATTGATGACTTTGTCTTCTTGTTGTACTTTGTTTACAGAAATTACATTATGTGTTTATCATTGATTTTAATGAGTGCTGTTAAATTTGACAGATTTGACTAGAACACATTCCCAGTCATGCTAACACACACACGTGTCCCAGAAATTGCCTTCTATGTGGGACTGGTGTGGCCATTCCTTCTCCCTCCCCAGGTGCCCCACTAATTAAATGTGGATTCACGTAATGGATGTATTGTTTTTTCTTTCAGGTATTGATATTGGTGGGAAGAGCTTTCAATATTTTTCCACTGTCTTTCCTTGTTAACTTCTTCCGTGAGCACAAGATCACACGCAAGATGCAGTTCATTATGTGGTTCAGTGGTAAGGAACTGAGGCTTCTTTACTGGCAAAATCCATTAAGTAAAATCTAAGAACATTGGTTAAAAAGGTTAAAAAATAGCTTTTATTAGAAACAGTTATGTCATGTTTAATTTGTGAAGAATATACCGGTACTAAATACGGCTAATGACGGGGGACTGTCTTCTGTCTGGGTTCTGACATTGTTCCACTGGGAAACCAGGGAAGACATTGTGTTCGTTATAAAGACTTCAATCAAACTTGACCTGCTGCTTCGCATGACCCCAGTCCTCTTTTGACATTTATTGTACGTAAACTAGGTAGCAAAGTGTGTTACAAGCCAGACAGATTGTGTGTATGCCATGTACTACCAGGCTGAGTGATGTATCTTGGTGTTCGCAGGTCTGAGGGGTGCCATTGCCTTTGCCCTGAGCCTCCATCTGGACTTTGAGGGTGAAAAACGTTATGTCCTGGTGACTACAACCCTCATCATTGTCTTGTTTACGATCATGTTCCTAGGGGGCGCCACCATGCCACTGATGAAGGTGAGTTGTTACTCATCACGTGACATGGGTGTTGTGGAGGTAGCATGTATGTTACTCATCACATGACATGGGTGTTGTGCAGGTAGCATGTATGTTACTCATCACATGACATGGGTGTTGTGCAGGTAGCATGTATGTTACTCATCACATGACATGGGTGTTGTTGACATGGGTGTTGTGCAGGTAGTAGCATGTATGTTACTCATCACATGACATGGGTGTTGTGCAGTTAGCATGTATGTTACTCATCACATGACATGGGTGTTGTGCAGGTAGCATGTATGTTACTCATCACATGACATGGGTGTTGTGCAGGTAGCATGTATGTTACTCATCACATGACATGGGTGTTGTGCAGTTACTCATCACATGACATTGTTGCATGTATGTTACCCATCACATGACATGGGTGTTGTGCAGTTACTCAGCATGACATGTTAGTCATCACATGACATGGTTAGCATGTATGTTACTCATCACATGACATGGGTGTTGTAGCATGTATGTTACTCATCACATGACATGGGTGTTGTGCAGTTAGCATGTATGTTACTCATCACATGACATGGGTGTTGTGCAGTTAGCATGTATGTTACTCATCACATGACATGGGTGTTGTGCAGTTAGCATGTATGTTACTCATCACATGACATGGGTGTTGTGCAGGTAGCATGTATGTTACTCATCACATGACATGGGTGTTGTGCAGGTAGCATGTATGTTACTCATCACATGACATGGGTGTTGTGCAGTTAGCATGTATGTTACTCATCACACATGACATGGGTGTTGTGCAGTTAGCATGTATGTTACTCATCACATGGGTGACATGGGTGACATGGGTGTTGTGCAGGTAGCATGTTAGTCATCTCATCACATGACATGGGTGTTGTGCAGTTAGCATGTATGTTACTCATCACATGACATGGGTGTTGTGCAGGTAGCATGTATGTTACTCATCACATGACATGGGTGTTGTGCATGACAGTAGCATGTATGTTACTCATCACATGACATGGGTGTTGTGCAGTTAGCATGTATGTTACTCATCACATGACATGGGTGTTGTGCAGTTAGCATGTATGTTACTCATCACATGACATGGGTGTTGTTGTAGCATGTATGTTACTCATAGCATGTATATGTTACTCATCACATTACTCATCACATGACATGGGTGTTGTGCAGTTAGCATGTATGTTACTCATCACATGACATGGGTGTTGTGCAGTTAGCATGTATGTTACTCATCACATGACATGGGTGTTGTGCAGGTAGCATGTATGTTACTCATCACATGACATGGGTGTTGTGCAGGTAGCATGTATGTTACTCATCACATGACATGGGTGTTGTGCAGTTAGCATGTATGTTACTCATCACATGACATGGGTGTTGTGCAGTTAGCATGTATGTTACTCATCACATGACATGGGTGTTGTGCAGGTAGCATGTATGTTACTCATCACATGACATGGGTGTTGTGCAGTTAGCATGTATGTTACTCATCACATGACATGGGTGTTGTGCAGGTAGCATGTATGTTACTCATCACATGACATGGGTGTTGTGCAGTTAGCATGTATGTTACTCATCACATGACATGGGTGTTGTGCAGGTAGCATGTATGTTACTCATCACATGACATGGGTGTTGTGCAGTTAGCATGTATGTTACTCATCACATGACATGGGTGTTGTGCAGGTAGCATGTATGTTACTCATCACATGACATGGGTGTTGTGCAGTTAGCATGTATGTTACTCATCACATGATAAGGTTGTTGTGCAGGTAGCATGTATGTTACTCATCACATGACATGGGTGTTGTGCAGGTATATGTATGTTACTCATCACATGACATGGGTGTTGTGCAGGTAGCATGTATGTTACCCATCACATGACATGGGTGTTGTTACTCATCACATGCAGGTAGCATGTATGTTACTCATCACATGACATGGGTGTTGTGCAGGTAGCATGTATGTTACTCATCACATGACATGGGTGTTGTGCAGTTAGCATGTATGTGCAGTTAGCATGTATGTTACTTCATCACATGACATGGGTGTTGTGCAGGTAGCATGTATGTTACCCATCACATGACATGGGTGTTGTGCAGGTAGCATGTATGTTACTCATCACATGACATGGGTGTTGTGCAGGTAGCATGTATGTTACTCATCACATGACATGGGTGTTGTGCAGTTTGCATGTATAGACTAAAGAGATGGTGAGCATATGACAATCTGTCCTTTGTTTGTCTTCCATGTATATACTAAAGAGATGGTGAGCATATGACAATCTGTCCTTTGTTTGTCTTCCATGTATATACTAAAGAGATGGTGAGCATATGACAATCTGTCCTTTGTTTGTCTTCCATGTATATATGTATAATATACAGATACATAACCTATATATAATGTGTCCCATTTAAACTGTATGTTACACATGTATCTCTACACAATGTACGTCTCTCCAGCAAGAAAACTGTACATAGCTTGTCTGTCTCTCCTGCATATGAGCTGGACGTTGGTTGTTTGTATGAAGTATATCCTGCAAGTCTGTCCTTTGGGTGACACTGTGGACTCGGACCACCTGTCTCCTGTATATAGACTGTATAACCTTGATGTTTGTTATTTATATGAAGTATACCCTGTCTGTCCCTAGGGTGACACTGTGGACTCGGACCACCTGTCTCCTGTATATAGACTGTATAACCTTGATGTTTGTTATTTATATGAAGTATACCCTGTCTGTCCCTAGGGTGACACTGTGGACTCGGACCACCTGTCTCCTGTATATAGACTGTATAACCTTGATGTTTGTTATTTATATGAAGTATACCCTGTCTGTCCCTAGGGTGACACTGTGGACTCGGACCACCTGTCTCCTGTATATAGACTGTATAACCTTGATGTTTGTTATTTATATGAAGTATACCCTGTCTGTCCCTAGGGTGACACTGTGGACTCAGAGCACCTGTCTCCTGTATATAGACTGTATAACCTTGATGTTTGTTATTTATATGAAGTATACACTGTCTGTCTCTAGGGTGACACTGTGGACTCGGAGCACCTGTCTGAGCTGACAGAGGAGGAGTATGAGATCAACTACGTCAAGCCTCATCTGAAAGGCTTCATGAAACTGGACGTGAAGTATCTCATTCCATTCTTTACAAGAAGATTCACGAAACAGGTATGGCTAGATAGTTGATCTTCACGCAACAAAGTGAGGCTGTAATAATGGCAATAAACCTCTGTTTCTGTGAGGTTAGATCACCAGGTCTTGCCTATGTTTGATCCACTGAATCTGTGTTGTCACTTGCAGGAGGTCCGGGAAGGCCAGAACCGGATGAAGACACTGACAAATCAGTGGTACCAGGATGTCCGGGCAGCACCATCCGACTCCGAGTCAGAGCAGGAAGAGGAAACCAAACTCATGACCAGTTAGTCAACTGACCATAGAAACTTGTGACCAGTTAGTCAACTGACCATTGAAACTTGTGACCAGTTTGTCATCGATGGAGCCAGGAATACTGGTTACTTTGTTACAAGTGGACAGTAAAGCTCCTTCACGGACATATCCTGCTGTGCTGTGGGACTATGTGTAGCTGACAGCAGGGTTGTGCCGTGGGACTATGTGTAGCTGACAGCAGGGTTGTGCTGTGGGACTATGTGTAGCTGACAGCAGGGTTGTGCTGTGGGACTATGTGTAGCTGACAGCAGGGTTGTGCTGTGGGACTATGTGTAGCTGACAGCAGGGTTGTGCTGTGGGACTATGTGTAGCTGACAGCAGGGTTGTGCTGTGGGACCACGTGTAGCTGACAGCATGGTTGTGCTGTGGGACTATGTGTAGCTGACAGCAGCGTTGTGCTGTATGACTACTCGGAGCTGGGATACTGACTCCCTTAGAAAGCATTAGGTGCTTTAGTATGGAAGATCATATCAACAGATGCCTGACAATGCATTTCAATGTGATAAACTCTGGTTCATACTGTATAATTCTAACCTGTTGGTGTTCCTTGCTCACTGTGTGATTCTACTGATGTTTCTACACTGTTGTGATACACTACATATCATGATCCATCCCTATGTTGAAGTAACATGTTGAGTATGTACAAAGCTTGTATGAATGTGATGTCCTTGACAACTCTTCTCCCACCCTGATTATGTAAACGGAATTGGCATGCTTGTTCCTGGCACACGTCTTCCTGGTCAAATTATGCACTGACCATCCAGGACCCAACTACCACCCATGTCAAATGATCTTCTGACTGTCCTTGTCCAATTACCTTAGTGTTAGGGTGATTGCAGATACGACAGTCTTAGGACTAATTTTCCACTGTCCTGGTCCCAGTCCAATCTGTCCCCTCAATCCTGATCTCATGAGTCAAGTAACTTCTATGAGGTAATGGCTATTGGAGCTTGCAGACTTGATGAGCCCAGGAATTGAGACATTGACCTGACATACATGCGAAGTCAATAACTGTGCTGTAAAGATCAATGTGGCCACTGTATAATGTATACTTCTTCTCAGAACAAGAAGCAGTTCACTGGACTCTTTAGCATGAAGCAATATTGACTCAAATAGTGAACACTGTGGGGATTCCGAGTTAGTGCAGATCCCCAGAAATCCACAGTAGCAGAGACTCATGGTGACTGAATGGATTGGGTAGTCAGGCGTCACGACTTGGTTGCCAGTGTATCGCTGTACTTCAGTGGCATGGTCTGTGGTTCATGAACATCACTGTCCAGACAGGCCACTTTCTACAGCTTGTTGACTCCAGTATTAATGAGAAGCTGTCTGTCGGTCAGTCTGTATATATATTTATTGTGTTAATCTTGTTTTCTGAGGGTTAATACCATTGCTGGGAGATGTCACATAGTGGTGGATATTATCACAACACAATGCACATATGATTCCTTTAATGATCTGTACAATGCTTCATTCCAGCTGTGCATGTGATACATGGCAACGTCATCATGTTGTAGAAATCATTCACAGTTCATCAATGGTGACTTAGTAACATAATATTTGTCTGTTTCTACATGATGTGTGTCCTGTAGGACACCAATGTCCAGATCATGGTTGTATCTAATAAAGGGTTTACATTCACGTAAATATTCAGTGTTTGTGTTTTCCATCACCTGAACCAACATGATCGATAGAGTACAGTGTTCTAGTCGGCGATGTCCATCCTTCCCCAGCCTCCTCATTGTCACCTATTGTGACCTATGGCGCTTCCTCTGCACTCTTCCTCTCCACACCGATATCATTCAGGAACATCGGAGATATGGTTTTGAAGAAAAGTTGGCATTGTCTTCCCTTCTTCATGGTCCAGCAACCTAATGGCGACAGTCAGAAGATCACAGACCGAACTTGGCTGGGGTTCTCCTTGGTGTAGTTATGTAGGAAGAACTTTCATCTTTCCGCCCTGGTGTCGCAATTGATGGCCTGGAATAATGGTTTTGTGAGTATATGAAAACCAAGCACCATTACATATAGGTCACAATCTGTTAACTGATTTCATGGTTAAGTAAATACAATGTTAGCTGGTCAAAGGCAGATACATAGTTTGATACTGATGTCAGCAACACTATTGATGAGGTACACCCTCACTTCCTGTTTGCTGCTGAGTAAAGAAAAACTCATTCCACAGACAGAGAGAGAGAGAGAGACAGAGAGTATGTATATATATTACAGGGAAATGTGTACATTGCCTGCTTCACTCAGTCATTGTGTACATTGTCTAAAATGTCCAGGCCAGAGCCAGCTGGCTAAAGCAATACTGCCTTATGATCTAGTCCTGTGGGAAGCTACACTCACTTCTGGTCCTGTGGGAAGCTATACTCACTTCTGGTCCTGTGTAAAGCAATACTCACTGATCCACTTCTGGTCCTGTGTAAAGCAATACTCACTTCTGGTCCTGTGTAAAGCAATACTCACTTCTGGTCCTGTGTAAAGCAATACTCACTTCTGGTCCTGTGTAAAGCAATACTCACTTCTGGTCCTGTGTAAAGCAATACTCACTTCTGGTCCTGTGTAAAGCAATACTCACTTCTGGTCCTGTGTAAAGCAATACACACTTCTGGTCCTGTGTAAAGCAATACTCACTTCTGGTCCTGTGTAAAGCAATACACACTTCTGGTCCTGTGTAAAGCAATACACACTTCTGGTCCTGTGTAAAGCAATACTCACTTCCTGACTGACGCTGCTGACACATCCTGCTGCTCTTTCCTGGCCTTGATGAGCTCTTCTGCTCGTTTCATCTCTTCTTCCATGGCAACCAACTCCTCCTCTGCCAGTTTCTTCCGCTCCTGGAACAAGGTGAAGGTCAGGAACAGTTTAAAGTCAGGGATTAAACACCCTATGCAACCTTGCCTCAAAGTGCAGGCTGTGTGGGAACATTAAAGTCCAGTATGACTGGAACTTGTAAACAGAGTTGACATACAAGTGTTGTACAGGGCCACAGTTTTTCTTTGAACGATACCAGTTCTTGTGGATTTCACCACAGCTGTAAACATCTAAGGAGGTTATAGTGAGTGAGTGAGTTTAGTTTTACGCCGGACTCAGCAATATTCCAGCTATATGGTGGCGGTCTGTAAATAATCGAGTCTGGACCAGACAATAAAGTGAACAACAGCATGAGCATCCATCTGCACAATTGGGAACCAATGACATGTGATACCCGATCCCATTAGTCGCATCTTACGACAAGCATGGGTTACAGAAGATCAATGAAAGAATGAATGAATGAATGAATGACAATTTATTTGTATAGCACCTAATATCCAGGTTATTTCCTGCTCAGTGGCGCTTTACAGAAAAATTACACAATGATTAAAAAAACACAGTGATGCTTTAAAAGACAGTAAAAGCTAAGATGCTGAATATGGGGGGGTCGAGGATTCAAAGCTAAAATATTGTCTGAATAGGTGTGTTTTAAGTTTTTATTTTGAATGAATCCCATGATTTTGCACTTTTCAGTTCAGCTGGAAGTTCATTCCACAACGCTGGGGCTGCAACTGTAAAACACCTTTCCCCCATTTTAGTGGTGGTTCTGGGGATGGCAAGATCATTCAAAGCACTGCTGGATCGAAGAGTTCTGTTTGAAGTATTTGTACGAAATTAGGCGTCTTAGATACTCAGGAGCAGTGGGATCATTCAGGACTGAATATGTAAGAGAAAGCGGATTATAGGTGACTCGTTGCTGTACAGGAAGCCAACGTAGCTCCCGCAGGATTGGTATGATTTCACAGTGCTTCCTGGACCCCGTGATGAGACGAGCAGAGCTGTTCTGTAGATGCTGTAGGAGCTTGATGTTTGAGCTTGATGTTCCATAAAGCAGCAAGTTACAGTAATCAAGGCTGGATGTGATACTAGTATGCACAAGAGTTTTCAGACAATCCACAGTCAGATATTTCTTGATGTTGCTGATATTGTAGAGACAGAACGACAGAGGATGGATCAAACATCACACCGAAGTTCGCCATAGCTGAGCTATGTGTCCCTTGAGCATGTCAGAAACCCAGTTCGAATCCCAGTTAACCCTGATAGTGTTTCTAGGTGTGTCCACACCACACCCATACTGGTGGGTTTAAGTGGTAAATGTCTCGCACCTGCTTTACTTTAATATCACTGGTATACGGTTCAAACCAGTAATAAACCCAACTCACTCCCCCACCAGTACCAAAGAAAGAATTGTATGGCAGCGTAATATGACATGCTTCTTAGATACCATTGAGATACACTAATACAAAGGACAAATAATCTGTGACGGGAAAGAGTAACATGACCGAACACAGGCTGTATACTGTTACTCACCTGTCTTGTCTTGGAGGCATCCTTGATGCTGTAGAACATTGGTCCAAGCTCTGCAAGCCACTCGCCATCTACAGACGTCACACACTGCATGTACTCCTAGAAATACCAGATTGTATCACTGACTTTACGTCACACAACAGAGGGTATCACTGACTTTACATCACACAACAGAGGGTATCACTGACTTTACATCACACAACGGAGGGTATCACTGACTTTATATCACACAACAGAGGGTATCACTGACTTTATATCACACAACAGAGGGTATCACTGACTTTACATCACACAACAGAGGGTATCACTGACTTTACATCACACAACAGAGGGTATTACTGACTTTATATCACACAACAGAGGGTATCACTGACTTTATATCACACAACAGAGGGTATCACTGACTTTATATCACACAACAGAGGGTATCACTGACTTTATATCACACAACAGAGGGTATCACTGACTTTATATCACACAACAGAGGGTATCACACACAACAGAAAGTGTCTTGGTTGGCCATACACGTATTGGTTGGTTTCATTACACATATCTCAATCTACAGAATGGTGGGATATCACACACAAGAGGGTGTCACTAAAGAGTTACCTTTGATGTCATGACAAGTTCGTGGTAGACGATGTAGTCTGGTGTGTAGCCCATGCCGAACAGAGCGCTGGTGGGGTGAAGGTGGCAGGGCATGCCCGTCCGACAGTTCACATACTCTCCCAGACCCTACAAAACAACACGCATGTTCCATAACACAATCACCAACATATAAGGAACATCAATGTCTTAAAAACATGATACATTACACAATAGTGACATCAAAGGACAAGTGACTTACATGAGAGCACCTCTACAGAGACTTATAAAGGTCTTGTGTTGCCATGGTGTTGCGTGACTCTACAGACACATACAGGAAGGACGTGCTACTGACACTAAACACATCTGAACAAACCAGTTAGTGGTGGCTAGGGTGTAAGTTCCATGACAAATTCCTCCATCCAGTTTATTATGACACCAAGACTATTTGTTCTCAGTGTTTCTGTGAGAAGACATGCACAACTGAAATATATCCATCTCCGTCGTCACAAACCTAATATAAATAATTCCTGGCAAAAGATGCCCACAGTAGGGGAAGCTCTTTGGTCCTATAGGACTTGGAGGGTGATCAGACAGAGGTGAACTGACAGAGGTGATCAGACAGAGGTGAACTGACAGAGGTGATCAGACAGAGGTGAACTGACAGAGGTGAACTGACAGGTGATCAGACAGAGGTGAACTGACAGATGAACTGACAGAGGTGATCAGACAGAGGTGAACTGACAGAGGTGATCAGACAGAGGTGAACTGACAGAGGTGAACTGACAGAGGTGAACTGACAGAGGTGAACTGACAGGTGATCAGACAGAGGTGAACTGACAGATGAACTGACAGAGGTGATCAGACAGAGGTGATCAGACAGAGATGAACTGACAGACATGAACTGACAGGTGATCAGACAGAGGCGAACTGACAGAGATGAACAGACAGAGGTAAACTGACAGAGATGAACTGACAGGCATAGAGTCATGGCACAATGTGGCCAACCTGTTGGGAAAACCTGTGTTTGGATGCATGGGGACAGAATCTAGCTGATCATTATCAGCAATATTTGCCACTGAACAGCAACAGCTGAATGCTCTCAAGCTCCCTGATCCTGTGTGGGTCAACTGGAGTGGCAGACGTGTGACCAGCAGGGCACTGAATTAGTGACAGATGTAGGAGGTCACAAGTGTTCACATTATCCACAACACTCTGGAATGGTGCCTCTTTACTCCGAGACTTCAACATGGCTGGTGTCCGGTCCTGCATTCACACGACAGACAGGCATTACAGACAGGCATGTTTGGATCAGGGGGACACACTAGGACTGACTGTACTTGTCACTGATGGAGACACTGTCTAGAACCAACAGACCATCATGTCCCAATAACAAGGACTTCAGGATATCAATAGAGCCACACAAGACTGGATTGGACTCAACTACCTTGTTTGTTTGGATCAGTGGAGGGAATACAACAGGCATGAAGAAAACACACAACCTCATTGTGCCAGGAGATCTTGTCTCTTTATCACACTTACTTGACAAATACATGCACGAATGTTTGCTTAAAACGTTGCGTCAAAATCCTATAAAGAAGTTGTTATCCATAAAGTATCATACCTTTCAATATTAAACAAACAAATATTGAAAACTCTCAACATTGCTGCGCGTGAGTTCAGCTTCATCATGTGTGGAGGGGAGTGTGGAGGGGAGTGTGTATAAAGTTTGCTGTATGGAGTCTGAAGGTTGGTCTCACCTTGAGTCTGGCAGCCTGGTGAAAGTATGCTGAACAGATGCACTTTCTGATGATGTCCCACTCGTTGCCACAGGATATCATCTCCATCTTCTGCTGGTCCATGATCTCCTTCAGCTGCTGCCGCACCTCTCGTACCTGCACAACACACAAGAAGTCAGTACTCACCTCCTCAGCCCAACAGTACTCAGTATACACCTGCTACTAAACATGAGTACTCAATACTCTCACACCTGCACAGTTAGGCTAGATGTGTGTGTATGTTACTTGATGAATACCTACCTTCCTCATGGCCTTGATGTGGATGAAATGTTCATTGGCCCAGGATGCAGAGTAGCTGAAACGAGGAGAACACCATGAGAACACCATGATAGAGTGAGTGAGTATAGTTTTACGCTGTTTTTAGCAATATTCCAGCAATATCACAGTGGGAATACAATATCACACCAGAAATGGGCTTCACACATATTGTACCCATGTGGGGAATCACACCAGAGTCTTCGGCATGACGAGCAAACGCTTTCACCACCAGGCTACCCCACCGACCCAAATACACCATGAGAACACCAAAAGGAGAACACCACAAGGTGAACACCTAGAGGAGAACACCACAAGGTGAACAACATGAGAATACCATGAGGTAAACACCACATGTAAACACAATGAGGTGAACACCATGAGGTAAACACCATGAGAACACAAGTGGAGAACACAAGGTGAACACCATGATAACACCAAGAGAACACCATGAGAAACCAGTGTGACACAGGGAACCCAATTCATTGACATAACTGTAGTACCACAACAGAGAAGAAACAGATTAACATCCAGCCATCATTGGGGGGCAGTACATATCACCCGGGTCCACAGCTACATGAGCGACGTACACAATTACATTGTTATATGAGCATCATACATGAGTACTGTACGTTGATGTACAGTTACAATAATCTAATATATCAAACTCTACCCCTCTAGAGTGTGCAGTAATAAATTATATCAAAGTCTGGGATGTTAATTGTACTATTATGTTTAGCTATTTGCGGGTATCAGGGCATATGACCTGCAACCCAAAGCAACCAAGCCAGTGGAACCCCAGAACATGATGAAAACACCCAGTGTAAAAGAGATGATAATAAAAAATAAGAGTGAACACAACATGTCATTCTCTATATTCATTTACCAAGCTGACCAGATGTTCCCAGGCATGGAGAAGGTTGTTCTTACAAGAACATTAATGATGTTGCAATGTATCCCAATATTCTCCATCATCTTTACATTGTCTCATGTCCACCTCTGGAGCAGCCCTCACTGCTGAAACCAGTCATCAGTTAAGAAAGGTCTTCACTCTTTCAACTAAAGTGACTGTCAATAGTTTGGATAACAAAGGACCTCATTGTAGTACCAATTACAAACTTATGGGTCCAACAATCAAGATAGTTATAAACAAACGGATCTGAACAATCTATTCCTATACATTTGTATAGACATTTGTATTTTCAAGTTGCCTTCCTCCCAGCATCTTACAAGCTGGTGAAGTAGTGGAAGTAGTTCTGCATGAAGACTGCTGGTTTTACAGAGAAATCAGCGGGGACTGGATGAGTTTGGAAGAGGGTACTTGGTGGCCTGGAGTAAGTGAGGAGTTCTCTTGCTTGGGTGGCCTGTGACGGTATCACCTGTGATTGGTGACAACTGGTCATGACACCCCTCTATCATCCCTGGTGTCATTACAAGTCTACTGCTGCAGCAGGCACTCGATGTCTCTTGAAGCAAGCCAGATACTCACCCATTCCTCTTCCACTGCTGATACACATTGAGATAGGTGAGATGGTCACTCTCAGGCACCTGGAACTTTTCTCGGGCAGCGTCAGAGTCTTCCTCCCTCCCTTTAGGGCGGTAGAAGATTGCCGGCACTGACAGCATGGACACGATAGTCTGAAACACCCACATCACATCTGTGTTCATAGGCTTCAATCAAGGACAAACACATATGCAGTTATACAAAGAAGGGGGCTGTATGTACTCAAACACTGTTGTTTTCTGAAACTGGAACTGGAAGCTCAGCAGCTTTGGGAACCAACACAAGTTGGCACCCTCAAGGAAACAGCAATCCTGGTTCAGCTCCACATGACAACCCACTACTGTGACATCACACTACTCACAGTCAGCAGATAATGTGACGCTACAACAGGCTATAGAAGAACACCCTACTTCCAGCTCCAGGGGGGTCCCTGACACTGAAATACTCTCTCCTGCAGGATTTCCTGTGCTATCTGCCCATAGTGGGAAGCACTGAATGCACTGAATATGGTATGAATATTAATGTAATGTAGCAGTCAAACTGGCTGAGTCAATCAGCAGTGGCCATTGTGATTTGATCCCTGACTGTCAAATTCATAGCAGAATCATAATAACATTCTCAAAAGTCAGCTGAATGGCAGCTATAAACAATTTCACTCTTCCATTATAGGCTGAATGGAGGATGACCAGCTCTTTCAAATTAACTCCTCTGAAACTCACATCACACTCATATTTTCACACCAGAACCATCTCTTCACACTACCCCTATCACCTAATGCAACAACCATCTCTTCACACTGTCACTTCAAATCACAACTATCTCTTCACACTGTCACTTCAAACCACAACCATCTCTTCAAGCTGTCACTTCAAACCACAACCATCTCTTCACACTGCCACTTCAAATCACAACCATCTCTTCACAGTGTCACTTCAAACCACAACCATCTCTTCACAGTGTCACTTCAAACCACAACCATCTCTTCACACTGTCACTTCAAATCACAACCATCTCTTCAAGCTGTCACTTCAAACCACAACCATCTCTTCACACTGTCACTTCAAATCACAACCATATCTTCACACTGTCACCATTCAAATCACAACCAATCACAACTCTTCACACTGTCACTTCAAACCACAACCATCTCTTCACACTGTCACTTCAAACCACAACCATCTCTTCACACTGTCACTTCAAACCACAACCATCTCTTCACACTGTCACTTCAAATCACAACCATCTCTTCACACTGTCACTTCAAACCACAACCATCTCTTCACACTGTCACTTCAAACCACAACCATCTCTTCACACTGTCACTTTACAACCATCTCTTCACACTGTCACTTCAAACCACAACCATCTCTTCACACTGTCACTTCAAACCACAACCATCTCTCTTCACACTGTCACTTCAAATCACAACCATCTCTTTCACACTGTCACTTCAAACCACAACCATCTTCTTCACAGTGTCACTTCAAAACCACAACCATCTCTTTCACACTGTCACTTCAAACCACAAACTATCTTTCACACTGTCACTTCAAACCACAACCATCTCTTCACACTGTCACTTCAAATCACAACCATCTCTTCACACTGTCACTTCAAACCACAACCATCTCTTCACACTGTCACTTCAAATCACAACCATCTCTTCACACTGTCACTTCAAACCACAACCATCTCTTCACACTGTCACTTCAAACCACAACCATCTCTTCACACTGTCACTTCAAACCACAATCATCTCTTCACACTGTCACTTCAAACCACAACCATCTCTTCACACTGTCACTTCAAACCACAACCATCGCTTCACACTGTCCCTACTTCAAAATTCTTAACTCTCCACACCACCCTTAAAACTCTCCACACCACCCTTAACTCTCCACACCACCCTTAATTCTCCACACCACCCTTAACTCTCCACACCACCCTTAATTCTCCACACCACCCTTAATTCTCCACACCACACTTAACTTTCCACACCACCCTTAAAACTCTCCACACCACCCTTAACTTTCCACACCACCCTTAAAACTCTCCACACCACCCTTAACTCTCCACACCACCCTTAACTCTCCACACCACCCTTAATTCTCCACACCACCCTTAACTCTCCAAACTCTCCACACCACCCTTAACTCTCCACACCACCCTTAATTCTCCACACCACCCTTAACTCTCCAAACTCTCCACTCCACCCTTAACTCTCCACTACACCCATACCCCATTGTACCACCTGTATCCATGCACCTCACTGTACCACCCATACACACATACCCCACTGTACCACCTGTACACATGCACCTCACTGTACCACCTGTACACATATACCCAATTGTACCAACTGTACACATGCACCTCACTGTACCACCTGCACACATATACCCCACTGTACCATCTGTACACATGCACCTCACTGTACCACCCTATTAATACACATATACCCAATTGTACCACCTGTACACATGCACCTCACTGTACCACCTGTACACATATACCCCACTGTACCATCTGTACACATGCACCTCACTGTACCACCTGTACACATATACCCAATTGTACCACCTGTACACATGCACCTCACTGTACCACCTGTACACATGCACCTCACTGTACCACCTGTACACATGCACCTCACTGTACCACCTGTACACATATACCCCACTGTACCACATCTGTACACATGCACCTCACTGTACCACCCACACACATATACCCAATTGTACCACCTGTACACATGCACCTCACTGTACCACCTGTACACATGCACCTCACTGTACCACCTGTACACATGCACCTCACTGTACCACCATCTGTACACATGCACCTCACTGTACCACCCACACACATATACCCCACTGTACCCACCTGTACACATGCACTGTACCATCTGTACACATGCACCCACCATTGTACCACCTGTACACATGCACTCACTGTACCACCTGTACTCATGCACCCTCACCTGTACATGCACCCCACTGTACCACCTGTACACATGCACCTCACTGTACCACCTGTACACATGCACCTCACTGTACCACCTGTACACATGCACCTCACTGTACCACCTGTACACATGCACCTCACTGTACCACCTGTACACATGCACCTCACTGTACCACCTGTACACATGCACCTCACTGTACCACCTGTACACATGCACCTCACTGTACCACCTGTACACATGCACCTCACTGTACCACCTGTACACATGCACCTCACTGTACCACCTGTACACATGCACCTCACTGTACCACCTGTACACATGCACCTCATTGTACCACCTGTACACATGCACCTCACTGTACCACCTGTACACATGCACCTCACTGTACCACCTGTACACATGCACCTCACTGTACCACCTGTACACATGCACCTCACTGTACCACCCATACATGTAGACATCCTAGTGCTGTAATATCACATTTCGATCATCCTTCTCTGAACACAAGGCCAGTCTTAAAGCACAACCATGGCAAGCTACATCATGGTGAGTAAGGAAGCCAGATTTTGCACAGGGCATATTTGGGGCATTATTGGTTACAGAATATACCAGATATATCCTCCTGTACAAAATCTTGATGACTTAGAGCAAGCTCTCTACTAAGAATGGAATGCCCTACCTCAACGTCAAATTCAGTGTCTATCACAGATAACAATATTGCAGTAGGCAGAGGTTCCCCTGCCCACTCAATTCCTTGACGCATTCACATCTTTTCAAATCCATATTTCACAGGACACATTGCTTTCAGGCAGACTGTAGGAAGTATGTTTTCAATGGAACATGTTTTAATTCAGTCCTCTCTGTTATTGTTGTAACCAGAGCAGATCTGAAACTATCGTGCAATATAATGACCTGAACTTGTCTGGCTGTCATACCTGTTCATGCATGTTCTCAAATTATATTTTGATCATATTTTGCATATCAATGTACTGAAACCCACTCTCAACTTTCCACACCACCCTTAACTTTCCACACCACCCTTAACTCTCCACGCCACCCTTTGCTCATCCCCACACTTTGCACACAGCACTAAAAGACTAGTGCCATCTCCAGCTATCATCTGTGTCAACCTGCTCTTCACGTCACCTTATCACCAAGTAAGTCAGCATGCCCAAGTTAACCACATAGCTTTTTAAGAGATGTTCAGTTCAGTCCATGATTATTTTTTGGCTCATCAAGTAAACTACAGGGACACAGCTCCAGACAGGCAGGGTGTAAAATATCCACCACCCTATTACTGTTTTAATCACAACACAAACCTTGGAGCTTGTGTACCTGAGTTTGTATACCTGATGAATTAAGGTACACACTTAGTAACCTTTCTACATGACCCTCTGTACCCCACTGTACCACCTTTACACATGTACCCCACTGTACCACCTTTACACATGTACCCCACTGTACCACCTTTAAACATGTACCCCACTGTACCACCTTTACACATGTACCCCACTGTACCACCTATACACATGTACCCCACTGAACCACCTTATACACATGTACCCCACTGTACCAGCTTTACACATGTACCCCACTGTACCAGCTTTTACACATGTACCCCACTGTACCACCCCATACACTGCTCTATACACATGTACCCCCACTGTATACAAATGTAATTCCTCACTGTACCACCTATACACATGTACCCCACTGTCATTTATACACATGTACCCCCACTTTTACACATGTACCCCACTTCTTATACACATGTACCCCAATGTACCACACCTTTACACATGTACCCCACTGTACCACCTATACACATGTACCCCACTGTACCACCTATACACATGTACCCCCACTGTACCACCTATACACATGCACCCCCACTGTACCACCTATACACATCGCATCTCCCACTGTACCACCTTTACACATGTACCCCCACTGTACCACCTTTAAACATGTACCCCACTGTACCACCTTTACACATGTACCCCACTGTACCACCTATACAGATATACCCCACTGTACCACCTTTTAAACATGTACTGTACCACCTATACAGATATACCCCACTGTACCACCTATACACATGTACCCCACTGTACTGCCTATACACATGTACCGCCTATACACATGTACCCCACTGTACCACCCATACACATGTACCCCACTGTACCACCTATACACATGTACCCCACTGTACCGCCTATACACATGTACCCCACTGTATCACCTATAAATATGTACCCCACTGTACCACCTACACACATGTACCACCTACACACATGTACCCCACTGTACCGCCTATAAACACGTACCCCACTGTACCACCTATACACATGTACCCAACTGTACCGCCTATAAACACGCACCCCACTGTACCACCTATACACATGTACCCCACTGTAATCACTTATAAACACGCACCCCACTGTACCACCTGTACACATGTACCCCACTGTACCGCCTTTACTCATGTACCCCACTGTACCACCTATACACATGTACCCCACTGTACCACCTATACACATGTACCCCACTGTACTGCCTATACACATGTACCCCACTGTACCACCTATACACATGTACCCCACTGTACCACCTATACACATCGTACCCCACTGTACCACCTATACACATGTACCCCACTGTACCACCTTTACACATGTACCCCACTGTACCACCTTTAAACATGTACTCCACTGTACCACCTTTACACATGTACCCTACTGTACCACCTATACAGATATACCCCACTGTACCACCTATACACATGTACCCCACTGTACTGCCTATACACATGTACCGCCTATACACATCGCCCCACTGTACCACCCATACACATGTACCCCACTGTACCACCTATACACATGTACCCCACTGTACCGCCTATACACATGTACCCCACTGTATCACCTATAAACATGTACCCCACTGTACCACCTATACACATGTACCCCACTGTACCGCCTATAAATATAAAACTCCCACTGTACCACCTATACACACATGTACCTATAACTGTACCGCCTATAAACACGCACCCCACTGTACCACCTATACACATGTACCCCACTGTACAGCCTATAAACACGTACCCCACTGTACCACCTGTACACATGTACCCAAATGTACCGCCTATAAACACATACTCAACTGTACCACCTATACACATGTACCCCACTGTACCACCTATACACACGCACCCCACTGTACCACCTATACACATGTACCCCACTGTACCGCCTTTACTCATGTACCCCACTGTACCACCTATACACATGTACCCCACTGTACCACCGATACACATGTATCCCACTGTACCACCTATACACATGTACCCCACTGTACTACCTATACGCACGCACCCCAGTGTACCACCTATACAAATGTACCCCACTGTACCGCCTATACACATGTACCCCACTGTACCGCCTATAAACAAGTACCCCACTGTACCACCTATACACATAATAATAATAATAATTGGCTTGTATAGCGCCTGGTTTCCATCATAGATGCTCAACGGCGCTGCATACATCGTTAAAACACAATAAGTGTGAAAAGAGTTCTATTCAGAAGCCATCTTGAAGAAGTAGGTTTTGAGCAAGTTCTTAAATAGTGAGTGGGACTCAGTTCGTCTGAGGGTGACTGGAAGATTGTTCCATAGAGCTGGTGCTGCTACAGAAAAGGCTCTATCATCCATGGATGTTTTAGTGCTTGGCTGTGTTAGTCTTAACATATCTATTGATCTAAGAGCTCTGGCGGGTACATGCAGATGTACAAGTTGGCGATGGTAGTCACAGGACTGGTCATCGTAGAGGCAGTTATGAGTCAGTAGCAGAATCTTGAAGTAGATCCTGTACTTTACTGGAAGCCAGTGAAGGGATTTCAGAACTGGCGATATATGGTCATGGCGATGGGTTCGAGAGACATCGAGCTGCTGCGTTTTGAATTTTCTGCAATTTAGAAAGTGTTGAAGATGCCGTGTTGCAAAAGAGTGAGTTGCAATAGTCTGAGGTCTTCACATCCTCAGTTCCTGTCTTGAGTGTGATTCAAGGTGGCATCTTCTGCAGCTGTTGCCGTGAGCCTATGGCAAGGAACTCAGTCTTGCTGTCATTCAACTTAAAATAGTTGACAGCCATCCATTCCCGGATATCCATTATGCAGCGTTCGATCTTATGAACTCCTTGTGAAACTTCTGATGGTTTGATGGAAATATACAACTGATTATTGTCAGCGTAGAGATGGAATTTTAGGGAATGACTTCTCACGATGTCTCCAGTTGGTAGAATGTACAAGCTAAAGAGAAGGGGTCCCAGAACAGAACCCTGTGGCACTCCATAGCGAACCAATGATGGTATTGAGATTTTGTCACCGATCTTTACTGACTCTGTTCAAGAAGAAAGATACGATTTTACCCACTGCAGTGTATAGGTGGTACAGTGGGGTACATGTGTATAGGTGGTACAGTGGGGTACGTGTGTATAGGTGGTACAGTGGGGAATCAAAATAAAATGACAATACGAAAACCGAAAATACCAACATTATTTATTGCATTATAGTGTACCGAACCAAAGGCAAAATACTGCCGTCCTCCTAACATCGCGGTATTCCGTTTCACCCCTACTATACACTGTACACTGAAGTACCTGAATGCATGTACCCATGTGATGGTACAACATCCACAGTTGGGCTGGTGAGGCCTTCAGGTGAAGCCACCAGGACCCCCTCAACTGATAAGTCAGCAGCTGTTTCATAACAGCCTAATACCTGCCAGCACTCTCCACAATGTTTACACAAGTCCTATTTATAGATCAATAACACAGGCATGTCAACAAATACTGACCCTTCAACAATCACTGGCTGTTCAGTATTAGAGTATTTCTCAAAACAGGAACACACACAAGATTTCAATCCAGCTTGTTGCAGCCAACTGCCCAGAAACATGACATAATGTGTAGGTTAAGATAAGAACAAATATACATGAAGTGCTCCTATTAATGTGGATTTTGGGGGAATTTTTGCACCATAAGAAAACATATTTGTACAAATATACAATTTTCTTTATATTTAGGGATATATTTTTCATACGGTGTTGTGCCGGAAAGGCTAAAATTTGTTTTTCAGGTGCCCCGGTAAGGCTAAAATGTATGTTTCGGATTTCCCGGGAGAGCTAATTTCCAAGGGAGTACCACCAAAGCTAAAGATGTGTTGCCGGGAAGCATAATCCATGTCGGGAGTAGAGAGATTTCTTTTCAAAACATTGTAATAGTAGAGTGTATATCGTCTTCGCTTGTTTAGAACTTTAAGAAGAAAGTAGTTTCAGGGGAATCACCATAAACAGCTGCTTTTCAAAACTCTACCTCGGTATTAACAGCGAGACTTGTTTCATGGTCTGGAAAATACAACATTATCTCTGATGCTCAGTTTGCTTTCAGAGCTGGTTACTCTACCGTGGACGCTGTATTTATAGTACACAACCTGAGTTCTATGTACACCCAAGAAAAGAAGAAATTCTATTGTTGCTTGTTGATCTAGCCAAAGCATTTGACTCTGTTAATCGTGACAGTCTATTTCTAAAGTTAAATCTGGTGGGCATCAGAGGTAGACTATGGAAAATTATCGGGTCTATGTATGACTGTGAAATCTTGTGTTAAACACAATGGTGAGTTATCTGGCTTCTGTCTATGCTCCCTGGGTATTAACAAGGGGAAGTAATGTCACCGATTCTTTTCTCCCAATATCTTGAAGATACTGAAGTAGCACTACAGGAAAATATTGACGCGGATTGCTGCTTGACTATATTAACCTTCTTATACTTCTATTTGCCGACATGGTGCTCATATCCGAATCACCTGGAGGTTTACAGCTATCACTTAATACACTTTCCAATTACTGCACGGACTGGAGCCTTAACGTCAATGTAGACAAAAGTAAAATTATGGTTTTTCTAAAAGGATGGAAGATTCGACCGGAGGAAATATAGTGCTTTCTTACACAGGCGTTTCTTTTGTAGGCGTTTTTTGAAGATTAATGTCAAATCATCTATAATTGCTGCATACAGCGAACTAGGGAGGTACCCTTTATATATAAAAAGGTATATCTGTGTCTTACGTTATTGGTATAAGTTGTTACACAGTGAAAA